AGAAAATCAGGATTTCATTATGATAGAATAAGCAAATTTTTACCATATACGCAACAATTTGCAGATTCCTATAGTTTTTATTGCATCTAACAAAATCTACTATGAGAGCAGATATATTGATTTAGATTGAAAAGTGGTCATTGTATTCGTATCTTTTGACTTCTACAGGGGTCTCTTCATTGCGTGGATGTTTATTACAGACAGAGTAGTCTTTTTTAACCAAATTACAATCATCGTTTAATAACTCAAAAGGCTGACTTCTATAAACCTCGGCATAGATACTTGGTACATTTACTTACATAATCTTATAAACTGATCTTCTTTACTTGATGTGTGATTGGTCTGTTGTCTTCGTTGTCGCTGTTGTTGTTGGTGGTGTTGTTGGTCGATCGCTGACGTTTCGGCGATTTCGCCTTCAGAACTATGGTGTTACGAGTGGGGAATCTGCAATCAATTGTAGCGAAAATTAGCGTCAATCCATCAGTGGAATTGCTGTTGACCATTGCATGTGCCAGAAAAATCTATCACTTCCATCAAAACATTGGCTTTTTTCTACACATTTTACACTTTTGCTGAAAGTGCTGTGTTTTCCTTTCAGTATTTGAAAGCTAATAGCTCTTCATGTGGTTTTCACCGAGTGCATTTGAAGGCTTTGATTATGAATATAGTCCGTGCTGCGCTTTTTTCTCACTTATACACAATTTAGGGGGCTTCTTATACTGGAACATTTATTTCAAAGTGATCGTTAAAGTGGACTATAACCACTGCCATAACGTATCAGTCATACTACTTATTATTCATCATGTTCCATCGATTGTATTCAATACTTACAGCGATCCTCTTCATTGTAGCATAGGAACCATAAGATGAATCTCGAGGTTACACAGCGTACCGGTAGTTTAATAAGTTCTATGTTTTAATAAGTTTATGTACGGGTGCATGTGACGCAGTGGTCAGAGGCGCCCTGCAACACACACATGGAATCGATCCCGGCCCCCATGACCCATCAAGCCTTCCATCCCTTCGAGGTCGGCACATTGGTACCAGACTTGTCTGGGAGGATAGCAGCACTGGCTCGATGCATCGGCAGGCCACCGCGAGAGATATGCATCCAATCACCTCCAAACGATGCTTAATGAAGTCGAATGCATGGTGCCTCACTCAGCGATTGATCAACGCCAAGAGCTTTATCCTTTATCGTCACGGGCTACCACATCCTTCACTCAAAATTTTCATCTTTTTTCGCAAAAATGCCGAAGACCGGTGTAAATTCTGATTTGTACAGATCCGTAGAAGGTGTTTTTGAATAATATTATTGTCGACAAAGTTTGCAAAAAATACGTTGGCTATGTAGGTCCAACACCTTCACGGTGCTACAAAAAAGCAGAGAGTTTCATCAAGAGATACTTGCCTGTAGAAGGTGATGCATTGATACGTCAACATGATGGAACCACACGAAATAGAAGGTAGAGTAGGAAAACTTAATAAGCTTGGAAAAGAGTCAACTAGGACACCATGATCCTACGAGACTAAGTTTACCATTATCTTTGTGCACCGAAGCGGAAAGATCGCTGTAACTAGTAAATGGCGATGATCTAATAAGGTTTCCTCCATTTCTTGACAATCGCGTACAAATTTTTTTAGATTGCTCACCTTACACGTGGTAGCTATAGAAATTTTATGCAGCTAACGTTTGGATGTCTTCGCCTTCCTCAGAGCTGATGATCCGAGTCCATGTTCACAGTCGTTCGCCTCCTCGATGTACTTCCTTCATCGTCGCATCGAGTCGAATCTTCTTTAGTGAAGCACCGCTCAAATGAAGCAATCTCATCCGGCGGCGCTCTTTTATACAGAACAGCTGTTGAATGATTGTTGGCTGACAATGATTTCTTTTTCATGCCGACAATCCACACTATAGCAGTCGGTATTAGAATAGCTAATACAAAGCGAAATAATGCTATTAGTAAACCGACCTTCACTTGACCTCGAGATGAATACTCAGAATATCTCTTCGAATGTTAGGCTTACACCAAGTTGTTATATAAGTTTTATTCCGCTAAGGTTTCGACGTCTTCAATCTTCAGTAAACAGTAAACGTTCTTCGTTTGAGCGGCGCTCGTAGATCTGACTCGATACGATGACGAAGCTACCATAACGAGAAGACGAGCGACTGTGAACATCGTTGCGGACCATCAGCTCTGAGGAAGATGAAGACGTCGAAACGTTAGCCGAATAAATGCTGTTTAGAAACCAAGTGTGAGCTGAACACTCTAAAGAAATTCATTGATTATTCGCGCCGAGGATAAGTGAAACTCATGTATAACTTCCTTCATGCTAGATCAGGCAATGTATGCTTCTCAACCTTTGTCCATTCCGCCATTCCGAAATTCAACGTGCTATTATGCAGAGTAGTAGTCCCGCAGCACTTCATTTCACCAGAGTCAGCCCGGCTCTTCAAACTTTACCTGTAGAATCAAATATTCATCTTCAACGAAGCAGTAGAACATTGAACGAAAGCTAGCCATATGGGCAGACCTGATAGGACAGAGGGAAGCTTTCCACAAACAGAACCTTCCTGCTCAAAATACAAGTGTCCAACATGAGCTATACCACATGTTTACAACCAGAGTAAAACCATTCTATACTTTGTCGAATGTAGAATAACGAAATAGCGCATCGTAATTAAGTGATACATTTGCCTAAGAAAAATCATCGTTGCTGGGAAATTTCACCCGAATCCTAACATCGTCTCCACATGAGATTCTTTTTTTTCAAAAGGGATAGAAAGCCAAAAAATTCAGGGAAGAAACGAAAATCATCATAAATTTTTATTCGTTCTAATATACAGATGTGTCCTGCATACAGCTGTATCATCGACATAACACAGCGCAATGCCAAACTCATGTTCAGCTATTCTCGACATCATGCAAAGACTGGAAATGCCGGTTCCGTTCGGCGGGACATCGGCCTCTAAACCCGTCGATCGCCTAAGCGTAGCATCGCTATCACAGAGATCACTGTAGTTCACGGAGAATCCAGTAGTGACAAGACAGCAAATCGCCTTTCAGTCCACCAAGGCCGGCAACTGCATGTGATGTGAGCTGAGAACATTCTGACATGACTTTACATCTAAAGATGTAGAAGAAGATCACACCTCGACCGCCATTCAGCACTACAATGAGGAAAGAAGACAAGTGATCTTAAAATCGTAACCGAACGCAAACAGAAATCCAACGTGGCTTGCTTCTTGACTAAAATTGAGACAAAGAAATGAATGGAAAAAAGTGATGGGAAGTGTGCGATATGTAAAGACAGGTTATTCAGGCAAATGTGAGAACTTAAAGCTAACTTCTAACCACACTGCTCTGTTTCACAAGCAGTATTTGCGCTCATGACTTACGCAGAACACTGCCCGCTGGTCTTATCAGTGCCCAAACGCTCAATTGATTAGTCTCATGTTGTCCGCGTCCTAGTTAGGATCTTTCCTTTGACAGGGGATTGGACGATTTTCCTTTCTGTAATCGTGTTGAATTTTTTAACAACTACATAAAACGTATTTGCTAATATGATGCTTCCATCCATTATATTTCTCTTCGCAAGTAATTTTTAGTTATGCCAAAGGTGTTTGTTTGAAAGAAATCTGTGGTTGTGAGCTTTGCGTGAAGTTTCACGACGTGCTACTTGGGTACTTCACTGGTGACCTGTATTCATAAATTGCGTTAGCAATTATTGACTTGATTTGGAGTCTTTTCTTAGTTGGGCAACTTGATCTTCTTCCTTGAGCCCCAAGATGGTCCTGTCGTGGTGCCTCGAAGTTTTTATCACATGTAGTCGCCGAATCCAGTGGATAGGAGGAAGATTTTTTCCGTTAAGACTGGGTTTGTAATAATTACTTCCCGGAATGTTCCCCTTGTTAACTCTAAGGTCGTCCTTTTTAAGGAAATTCAGGGAATTTGTTTTCTTGTAAAGGCTTTTCTTAACATTTCATTGATGACTATTTCATAGAAAACAGTGCGAGAAGATCAAAGCGAAGAAATCACAGGCCGTTGATCAATCTCTAAAGGGTATGCCGTGCACTGGATCCATTGAACATCGTAAAAGTGAATGAATACATAGTTGACCTAAAGGCTGACTTTTAGGACCATGTCGATGTGCCGAATCAGTGTGGTTGGGCATGGTTTGTACGAGGTAGAACCATAGGCAACATGTGTAATGCAGGGCACATCTAACCCATTGTACAATTCGCACCCAGTAGGATAATATATTGAGGGTAAAATAGCGTCCTTTTAATTTATGAGCTATAATTTCAAAGAGATACCCTTCTAAGAGAGAGATACATTCCACCCTTCTAATTTCTGGCATATTCCAGTTAGCGTTAGCCGGATCGTGAACTTATCAGGGAAATATTAAACACTGGTATATAATGCTGAGATATTTGCAAAACTCCGGATCGCAGGTGTATGCGGGTGATTGCTGATGGCAAAAGATCAATAGAAGTAGCTGAGAGACAGGCAAAACGAAGGACGCGGATGGTGTGGTGGTGAAGTGCGCTACTCCTCGGTAAGGACAATAGCGCGTTCGTTCCCCACCACATACACCTGCGGTCCGGAGTTTTGCAAATATCTCAGCATTATATACAAGTTATATTTCGCAACATATCCTGCCATTAAAAAGAAAAAGGCGGTAAATAAAAGGGTTAGGAATGTGATTGAACACTGGGTTTTTCCTTTGTGACGCTCCGTGAAACCTCTGCATGACACAAAACGATATGATTGCATCTACTTCCTATACCTTAATATCTACTCTTTCACTTAAATTGCAATAACAAGTTTCATATATATTTTTTTTATTAATTAGCAATATTTCCTCAAAATCAATAGGACATTGGTAAGGTAAAATTCCATCACCTTTCTGCGAGTTTGTTATCAATTGACTGGCTTGAAGCCAACTATCTAGGTATGTCAATTCAAGTTTGTTTTTTAACGTAGATGGAATTTCAGTGGACAGAGGTATGACCGCATCACCACTGGACAGCTATCGTCAAAAGGCTTCATTTAATTGGAGTGAATTAAAAGATATAGTTGAAGGACAAGAAAACGTGCAAATAAAAGTGGGTGTTTGACAATCACTTTTGATTTCTTTGCGGAACTCTACGGTCACAAAGGTCTTAGTTGAAGAGAGACACTTCTTTTCCCAGAAGTGCTGTACAGCGATTCCATCACATTCTTTAGACGAATCTTACGAAATGTACGTCAAAATTTCTCTAGCCTAATATTTATTTTGACTACGTAATTTATTTTCATTTTTATTTTTTTTTATTTAAAGAAAAGACTTTACGAGACGCTCGAAAAGGAACCACTTTTCGCTCGTAACTACGACCGGCTGTCACGGGAAGAACTTCGCGAGCTGAATCATCGACGCTGGAAGAAAATTCTCGAATTAAAACTGCCATGTGATGTTCGAGCTAACAGGCGTTTTTCTTCTTCAGTTAAATCATATAAGCACTGTTAGGTTTTCAATCGATAAATATCTTGACTGTATTGCTAAGTTTCGGTAGACTTTTCTGAATCGTAACTGGATTGATTCGTGAACACTTGGAATAAGAATCAAATCTCCACTGTATTTTGCAGTCTTCTTTAGTTTATTTGGTTTAAGACTCTTTTACAGTGGCTACGTAGATAATTTTAATAGGCTAGACAAGCAAAAGGCGTCTCAAGAAAATATACTTGCAATTTAGTGATTTTCCATCCTTTAGGTCCTCGTAGTTTTTCGTAAAACTTTCCTTCACATTCTAAGTAACACTCTAAGCCTTTTCCACTCGAAGACATTACTGTTAGAAGAAAAATTGTTTTCGGACTGTTATTATAGGTGACGTTAACTGTTCCAGCAATTCGGCGACTATCAAGCTTACCACTGTTTATTGGAAGTACTGGACATGTACGATCAGGGTCTATCAGCTCGTCTATCACTGCATAGTACGGTGAATACACTTATCTATTGCATTTTAATAGTTACTCATTTGTTCTATGCATAAAATGGTTGATAATACCTCATTGTGATGCAATCATAGGTGTTCATCACTGCGATTTTTTCCATGGGTAGCGAGCGTCATCAGGAAATACTGGAAAGGGCCAGGAGAAACGAGGTGATCGGATTCATTGTATTCGTTTAACTCACCTTTCTCCAAGACTTCATTCAGAGCTGTACTTCGCTGCTTAAAGGCAACTCGTCCTCTGTGTTCTGTTCTCTCTGTACATATTTTGTAACGACTGTCACTTTCAGATCGTTGGCTGTTTCTCTCTGACTGAACTCAGCCACGGATCGAACACGCAAGAAATCCAGACCGTGGCCACCCTCGATAATGGAGAATTCGTATTCAATTGTCCAAATGACGGAGCTATTAAGTGTTGGACTGGAAACTTAGGTATATTTTTTTCCTTTTAGGAATGTTTGATAAAAATAAGAACAAAGCGCCCGTCGGTGACCAATTATTCGGGAATGGGCCACGGATTCGACTTCATTTTCAGATAGTAAAGATGAATGAATGCATAACTAGTCTATAGAATGACTTGCGGTGGCGTAGTAATATATCAAATCTGTTTGCATTTGTAAATTGACTTTCACTTAAGTCCGATGAAATTCTTACCAACCTTGTACTTACTCATTATTGAAAGAACAACATATAAAATCAGTGTTCCTATCCTCTTAGTCAAGACTAGCACCAATTACCCACACTAGAGAGATGGAGAACTTGGTATGCCTGGGTTCGGGATTCAACCAACGACCATGTGTGTATCGCATGACAGGTCTAACCACTGCGTTACCCGCATTCTAGAAACGTGCTATAGTACATGTATTCCAAAAGTACGCAATAGACAAAGAAAATGTTGGTCAGTAGTTCGTGTATGTGTAACGACAGAGCATAATCTTCAATTGCAGCCGAATCAGCTACACATGCAGTGGTATTCGCTCAGTTGATCGTCGCCAGAAAGTGTGAAGGCGTCCATGCATTCGTCTTGCAAGTGAGGTACCTAAATGAACAACTAATTTTGTTGCACTGTTTATGATTCATTTTTGCTTTTTTAATGGATGATTTTAATATTGTGGAACACTTCTGGAATGGGAGAAAGAAAGGTGGAATGGATCAATAGCAAGAATAGTCGCTTTGAAGGCGTATTTTAATAACGTCGAAAAAAACGTGACAACAGTGTAACGAGTAAAGGAGAAGTGTTCGATGGAGATAAAACTCTACGGCATGCATTCGGCTCCAGTCGTAGCATCGCAGATATGAATCAAAGCACATCTGGCCTATACAGTCAATTACGAGAGCTTCCTGATGTACTAAATCAGTATCGTCTTAGAAAAGTCTGGTAGCAATTTTCCGACCCTAGAGGGATGGACAGTTTAGGTTGCAAGGTGCCCGGGAATGCACCTACGACCTTGTGTGCACTGCTGAGCACCACTAACTACTGCGCTACACGTGCGTGCAGTAGAAGTATGAGTAACTATGTGTTAAAAATAAAATAAGAAGCAAGGATAGGGTGAAAATAAATAGAATATTCCCCTCCCGTCCAAGAGCTACCTAGACTACTATGAAAATATAATTAAAGTTTATCGTTTTGAATACGGTGTAATTATTGTAGGGATTAGTGGACTACTATTGGACGGATCTCCGAAATCCACCAACGACTTGAATTTGCGAAAAGCAGCATAAAAGAAAAATTTTTAGGGACACACGGACATTTGAACCACTTCCGGGGATCACAATTGGGGATATGGGCGAAAAGCCGGGTGCGTGGAACGGAGTTGAAAACGGTTGGATGGAATTCAAGGTTTTTAGTTCACTCAAATGTTGTCATTTTTAATTTCCACTCTAAAGTAAGCGCTATTTTCACATTATTGCTGGAATATTAACTGAAAGCCATAAATATCAGCTTTTGAGCCAATAAATTTAATGGTGATGATGTTCAAAACCTTATAATGAGACAGCCGGATGCTTGGAGCGCAGTTGTTGAGATATGTGAATCATTTCCTTAAGATTTAAACAACCGTAATAAAGAACAATATTTCCCAGTAGACGTCAGTTTAGCAATCCAATATTGAGAACTCCACTCTTTCGTTACTTAGCCGAATTTTCAACAGTGCATTATGAGGACGGGAATCACGAATGAAGTCTATAATGTGGAATCTACTGTTACTATAGTTATTGTTGCTTTTCATTGCTGTGTGTGTAAATTCCTTACTACCGATAAGTGACAGAATCATCGTGCGCCCTTATGGACGTTGCTGAACAAAGGTTGTGAGGTCACATCTGATGGTAATTACATATCGAGCTACAAATCGGCCAGTGAGAAGCAATCCATCAGCCTAGGTGCATTGTCCGTTGGAAGGTGAGCACGGCATCATCTATAAACTATTACTATTCTTCAGTGAATATATTTCTTTGAATTCACAATGTTTACTTTCTATTTAGTGCCTACTATTGTTTGTTCACGACAGGGTATGATGTGAAACACAACAGCTATGATGCTGAGATATTTGCAAAACTTGGACTCCAGGCTCGAACCCACGACTAGCCTTCCGGGGACTCAAGGGTTACCCACTGCATTACTGAGGCCATTGCTTTGACTTTTTCTCAACCAGCTTTCTACCCTAACAGTGCCATAAGCATTAATAGGCAGTGATTAAAAGTTAAAGATTGCGATTTCGGCAGCAACAACAGCCTCAGCCTAACTGGATTCGATTTTGCTGAATGAGCGCTGCCCAGATCAATACTGTTGAATACTGTTGAAGCGTGACTGTTGATGGTATAATAAGAATAAAACTGGCTGAAAGAAAGAAACGAAGGGCCTCAGTGGTACAGCGGATAACATGTGACCCCTCGAAAAGGATAATCGCCGGTTCGAATTTGCCCTGTGCTCCAAGTTTTGCAAATATCTCACCATCATAATAGTTCTGCTTATCTGAATTGTTCAGCTTAGACGAAATGGTTATATGTTTGATTCGACTATCGTTTCAAAGTCTTCGTCCTCTTCAGAGGCGATGATCTGAGTCGATGGTCCACAGTCGTTTTAAACTTATATAATAACCTCCTGTAAGCTGAACAATTCAAAGAAACATATTGATTATTTACACCGAAGTTAAGTGAAAGGCGGTGCTTTGTGACAGAATTTTTCAGTGGTTTTACATGCAGCTTTTTTCTCTCTCATTCTTCCACCATACATAGCTTACTGACTATTACTTAGATGCGTAGATACTCGTCTTCATATGTTGCACGGGTCCCAGTACTCCTTTTATCCTTGCGTAGTGCCTGACTGTGGTCATTCACGATGATGACTGAGCTCATTTGTGCTTTCAGCTACAGTTTAAAACTCTGCTATCCTCTCCCAATAACTCATCGAATTCTCGTCTAACGTTATTTTCTCATCGTCTATGTATTAAGCTGTTGCAAAAATAATGGCCGATTAGGAATGGTCACAACGAGTTACCCTCGTTTGGCTAAATTCTGACATCTCATTCGAAATGAGAAACAATTGAGTTTATGGACTTCTTTTTACCAAAATGACATAAGCTTACCCATTCTGGTGATCTAAAATTCTAAAGCTCACGAAATGATGTATTATTCGATGGTATTTTCATGAGCATCTTCGCTACCGAAAACTCATGCTTAGAAATAGTTGCTAGGTTCTTGAAAAAGTTGTATGATAAACAATTGGCAATGTATTTGAAAAGTAATTAGAGTACGTCGTTTTCTTGTTCAGCAATCGCGAGGCTGTTAAACAGCATACATTTACTTCCATAGAAAAGCACAATACAACACAACAGTAGCTGACGTTTCGGCACCATCGCCTTCTTCAGAGCCTGGAAGGGTATACTGATGTACAATCTACTAGGTCAAACGCTTCAATAACACTTACAAAAAGACGAAAGACTCTTTGGTAATTACACGATCAACAACTTCTCGAAAAAACCCACCGCTTTTTTCGTGACTTCCAATGAGGAAGTTTAGAACAGCCGATTATAGTTGCATGTCGTTGATGACTGTACCATCCCACATCAAAAATCGATGCGAACGTACGGGATTAGGTCGCGTATGACCTCCGGGCGTTCATCCCTGCTATTCCTTGTAGGGTTTTTGGCATTTATCCAAAAAGCCTCAAGAAGTTTTCGCGCTGGTGTTTTGGACTCCTTTGCAAGGATATTGACTTTTACTTCAAAATCGTCTCCGCTATGCTTTTGTATCCTATGCGTGCCTAGTGTGGTGCTTCCTCTTAGTTTTCGTTTTCCATCTAGGTGTTCTTTTACACACAAAGGTCTACCCGTTTCGCCAATATATTCATCTCCGCAATTATTACAAGAGATCAGGTATGTCGTACCTGAACTCATGCAATCACCGTCCCTGCCGGATGGCTGTTTGCCGAGCCAAGTCGCGCGATTCTTCCTTTAGTTCCCTGGTAGTGTTCACAGAGGTGGCTGTTCGAAACATGTTTCTCACGATCGCCCTCTTTGTGTGTGTAGGGTGGGAAGAAAGGAAATGAACAAGAATGTTCTTGTTACTTGGCTTTCGGTACCGTTTTGTCAGGTGACCGCTACTTGATAGGTTTATTTGAACGTTCAAAAACGGAAGCCAAAAGCGGTGGCTTTTTCGAGAAGTTGTTGATCATGTAATTACCATAGAGTTTTTCGTTTTTTTGTAAGTGTCATTGAAGCGTTTGGCCTAGTAGATTGTATATCAGCATACCCTTCCAGGCTCTGAAGAAGGCGATACTGCCGAAACGTCAGCTAGCGTTGTATTGTATTGTGTTTTTTATGGAAGTAAATGTATGCTGTTTAAAAACCTCGCGATTGCTGAACAAGAAAACGACGCATTCATATTCCAATGCCGAGGTTAATAGAAAGTCGATCCTGGGACCTAGTAATTAGAGTTTCGAAACACAATTTTTTTTCAACTGCTTAGCGTTCGATGTATAATGTGGGGCTAGAGAAGCTGTTATATAAGAGGACAGAACTATTGTGATGACCAGTGGTAGCGGATTCGCTGCAGTGTTTTTGCGATTGCTTCCCTTTGAATCAGAAAGTTGCTATGGATTAGTCAGAGGGCAGATCAACAGGCACTCATTAAAACTTTTTGGTGTAAGCTCGTTTCAAAAAAAGGTTAAGAAATTTCATCTTGGCTCAGACAGTGTGCTAAACGTCAGCGGTTGTAATATGCGCTTCTGTGGTCCATGCTTTAACAAAATTTCAAGTTGTTCCCACGAAATTATGCCGGGTATTGAACTGATGAAGAAATCATTTCCTCTAGCCTGAAATTGCTGTAAATGACATGCTGGAAAAGTACTACACAGTATTTACTTTTTTATTTACTGCCTACTACAATTTTCACGGCAGGGTATCATGCGGAATCAATCATAACGATGCTGACATATTCGCAAAACTTGGACCCCGGGCCAAAGCGAACCACGATTTTCCTTTCTGGGCCTCACACATTACACACTGCGCCACAGAGGTCCTTATTCTGCGTTTCTTTCCGAAATTTTTCTATATCTATAGGGCCTCCGTGGCGCAGTGTGTAATTCGCGAGCCCACGGAAAAGGAAATCGTGTTTCGATCTGGCTCGGGGTCCAAGTTTTGAGAATATCTCAGCATCGTTGTGATTTATATCACAATAAATTTTTAAATGCAAACAAGGTTCAAGATTTTAACAAAATCACCGGTTCGAAGAATATGCATTTAGTGCAAAATCTATTCGTAAAGTTCACATCGATAAAATCTATGATTACAAACTCCATTACTTGGAGTAACTCCATTTTTAGGGGTGCGTGTGGCGCAATGGTTGGAGGCGCCACTGCGACACACACATTGAATCGATCCCAGCGCTCATGGCTCACCAAGCTTTCCATCCCTCTGGGGTCGGCAAATTGGTACCAGACTTGTCTGGGAGGTTAGCAGCACTGGCTCGATACATCGGTAGGTCACCGCGAGTCATTGTAAAGGCCAGATGTGCATTCAATCATCTCCAACGGTACTTAATGGAGTCGAATGCGTGGCGCATCCGTCAGGGATTGATCAACGCCTAGAGCTTTTTTTAAACCCCATTTTTGTGATATTGTTACGCTCGAGAAGATGTTGTGATGCTTCTGCGTGTTGAAATTTGATCTGAAATGAAAGTTCGTCCTGAGGTATTCATTGCCTCTTAAATGTTCGAAGAGTGAATGGGTAAGCAGTTTTCATCCAAAGTTCGACTTAGAGTTATAGCAGGTCCCAACAGGTTTGTGAATGACGGATAGAAGGCAACTACCGGAATTAAGAAAATGTTGCGATCTGTACAATATTTGAAGACGTGTATTACATGATGAAATGAATTGTAATCACGTAAAACCTCTTTGTAAGCTACAGTAGGTTGCTGTATTTCGCTTTTAAATTCTTATATAATGCACAGATGAATGGAAAACAGCTAGTTTTTCCGTGTTGGTAACAGCACAACTCATTTTCAATTCAGAAAAATTGACCCGGTATAGTTGGATACTTGGATACTTGGATGTCTCATCTTCAGTGGTTGCGCGGGCCCAGCATAATTTCCATCCTCTGGAGAATTACTAGTTCAGCCACTGTGGTTTCCTGGAGTCTCGAGTACAGTCTGACCAAAATCTGCTCCAGGCCGTCACCAGCACATGCAGTCGCAGCCCTTGCGGATCAGAGGGAGATTTGCCACAATGCGACTAGTTTGATACCAAGACGTTGGTGGATCCTGGTATTGGTTTACTCTTATCTGGGTTTCCTTGTGAAAACGTCGGACTCCTTCTCAGCTTGGGAGACTGCCGCGAGGTGAATCCCTCCGCTGTACATCGCAGTCCAACACCAGAGAACATCTCCCAGCCACGATGAGGCGGTAAACCGTTGTGAGGATTGACCCAATATAACCTTAATATCACCTGTAGTCCCGTTGATCGTCGAGTGACTCGAGCGGGCGCCAGTAAATCTTCCATTTTTCTCTGTCGCGTGCAAGAGTAGCCCAGTGGGTTCTGCTCGCTCTATGGACTCGTCGAGCATCATATCTTTCTTCCAGGTTTTTTATGATAAACTCTGACCATCGGGTCGGTGGTCTTCCTGCACTACGTTTGACATCCCAAGGAATCCAGTCACTAACGGCTCTTGTCCATCGGTTGTCATTCGTACGCATTGCGTATCCGGCTCACCTCATCTTCGACTGTTTGGCGTACAGAACGGCATCTTCGATTTTTGATGGTTGATACAAGTCGGAGTATCGGATCCCATCCCTTACTTGTGTGAAATGGGATGCTCCTAGCATCGTCCTATAGACTGCGCGTTCGATAACGCCGAGTGATCTTTCATCCTGCTTACGCAGCGACCAGGTTTCTGACGCATACATTAGGACAGGAAGTACCGTTGAGTCGAAAAGGTGGGGACGGAGCCGGGTTATCTCTGTTCTCCTCACTACTTCTTCGATGCTCTTGAAAGCTCCCCAAGCCGCTCGTTTTCTTCTGCCCAGCTCTGGTGCTAGGTCGTTCATCATATTAAGTTCCCGACTTGGATAGATATAACTGGAGCAATCAGAGATATACGTTCCGTTGAGCGTGAATGGGGCATGCGAAACCAATCCTTTCCTCATGAACATCGTTTTTGTGAGATTTAGTCGAAGACCAATCTTTCCACAGGCTTCTTCAAACCTAGCCAACATTCGTTCCTCTTGGCTAATGTTTGGTGTTATAAGGACGATGCCATCAACAAAGCGAAGATGGTGTAACTGTACCGACCATCGATTTTCACTCCCATGTTATTCCATTCCAATGTTCACACGACGTTCTGGAAGTTGGCGGTAAATAATTTCGGTGAGATTGTATCGCCTTGCCTAACTCCTCTTCTCACGTCAATGTTAATATCGTCGTAGAATGGTGATATCTTGGTTGTGAAATTTTTGTACAGCTCACGAAGAATCTTTATGTATTGAGTAGTGACTCGACTATCAAGGGCTTCCCAGACTGCTTCCATCTCAACTGAATCAAAGGCCTTCTGTAAACCGATGAAAATGAGACAGAGCAGTCTTTTGTACTTCGAGATCCTTCAGTGAGCCGTGTTACCGTGTGGATGTGGTCCATCGTACTAAATCCTCTTCGAAACACTGCTTGCTCACGTGGCTGCCTTTCGTCTAGTGTTCTGTCAATCCTGTTTAGGATGACTCGAGTGAAAAGTTTGTAGACGACAGAAATGAAGGTCACCCTTCTTAAACAACAACACGGTTTTGCTAGTCTTCCACTGAGTAGGGACCATTCAGGCAGGTAACGTGTGAAGAGCCGAGCCAGTGTGTTTACGAGGGCTGGCGGAAGGTTCTTCAGGTGTTCCTGGTCTTATCCTGTCCGGACCTGGTGCTGTTCGATTTCTCACCGACGAAACGGCAGGATTTCGGAAGGGAAAACCGGTGGTACAACATATCCATCCTCCTTTATTTCATATGACGGAAGGTGGACGTGACTATCAAAGAGATCTGAGTAGTATTCGTGAGTGATTTTCTCCACTGTCTTTCTGGACGCGGTAACTGTTCCGTCTGGGCGTCGGAGTGCAATCATCTTGGTCTTGTAATTGGCGAAGCTTAGGTGCGCTTTGCGAATGCTTTTTCTAGCCTCTCGAGCTTCGGTCATTACTGCTGCTCTTCTCTCTTTAAGATCTTTTGTTGCTTGTCTGCACTGTTTTGCAAGCTCGGACATTAGTTCGCTGTTGTCTGCACCTCGTGCGATTCCACGCTGGCGCATCAGCTCGAGTGTTTCTGGAGACAGGCGTCTCTTGGTGAGTTCCGAACCATGAGCTTTCATAGCGCTAACGTGAAGATATTGTCTGAGCCGATCGTATTCTTCGTCGATGTTATCGACAACAGCATCTTCCCAACGGCCGACTAATGAACTGAATAAGTCCCAGTTTGTGGTGATTCTGGGACTTCGGTTTTTGAATTTAGCGGCTTTTTCTCCTTTCCGCAAGAAATAAGATCTTGCACGAAGGAGACGATGGTCTGATCCCGTGTAGAGTTCTGGGACAACAGCGACATCGGTTAGGCAAAACCTATTTACTATGATGTGGTCTATTTCGTTATGGTACTCTCTATTGGTAGACTCCCACGTCCAGCGCTGATGGTGGCGCTTCTGGAATTGCGAATTACCATGGATTGTCTTGGTCGCCATGATAAGCTTAGATATCCGCTCATCCTGCTCGTTCCGTTCTAATCCATGGGTTCCAATGTGACGTTCTTCATACGTTCTTCTTGGTCCAATTTTGGCGTTGAAATCTCCAATGATGACTTTGAAGAATGCGTGATCTTCTCTGTGGAACTTCACCAAGTCCTTATAGAACACTTCAACTTCTTTTTTGTCATAGCTTGATGTCGGCCTTAATATAGATGTTTACAAAGCCATGAAGTAAGAATCGGAACACATGATTCCATTTGTAAGAGTTTTTTAAAAACTGGTTGCATGGTACATCATCAGTCGCATTTTTTTCTGTCTAAATTAGGGTTGGAATCATCGGAAAAGGCGTCACCGCGTGTGGACTGGCATCAACGATTGCTATTCGCTATAGCGCCCGTAGAAGACAATTTGGACCGAGAAAAGGAGGTGAAATTCATTCTGTTTATAATATTTTTCGCCAAGGTAACCATACGGAGCTTCGTCAGACTGGTAGGCACAAAATTATAATACAATGGGCAAGAACTCTGCTACGAATTTTAGAAGAAATTCCTGTTATCGACTATCCTCTGCAACAACATCGCTTACTGCCCTATCTAGCTGCATACTTCGCCGTTCGACTTTTCCATAAAAGGTGACTAAAATTTGATTGATTCGGCTCTCCACAACCTCTTTCTTCCTACAAAATTCACTCTTGAAATCGATACCCGTAAACTAATGATATTTACTGGCTACACTTTATAATGTAGAGGATTTTATCACTGTATTCTGCAAAGCCACTTAATCAACCATGCAGGTGTAGGGCAGTTCTTCATATCCTTTCCTCTTTTTTTGGGTTTTCCTTTGCTAAGAAAAATAACTCCGTAATGACTCAGTCTCACTTTCTCACCTGACTGCTGGATGTTGCTCCTACTGAAGTTTTTTGAAAATTCTTTAGCTTTGACAGGTCTTTCAGCCATAACAATCTCTGCTTTTACAAAATATACCTAGTCTACTATTTTTCTTAACCACTTTTTTGAACTAGTTCATCTTGTTTCCATGCCTTTCAGGCTCTGGGAGTTCTTAACGGAATATCTAATGCGTGTTATGCAAGGTGATAAGTCTGCTGAGCTGGTTAGTAAATTAAGTAACATTTATGTAATTTAAAGGGTATTTCTATAAAGGAAAGTGGGCAACCCACTGTTAGAGGTGTAATTTAATAAGAGACAGGCGAAACGAAGGAACCGCATGGTGTGGTGGTGAACGCTTTACTCCCCGGAAAGGACAATAGCGCATTCGTTCCCCACCGCAGACACCTGCGGTCCGAAGTTTTACAAATATCTCAGCGTCATCTTAGTTTTAATCTGATAATACGACTAAGACATTGGTTCGGCTTCTCTCAAGGCCAACCAAGCATCCCATCACTCCATGATAACGAAATTGGTACCTAACCTATCTGGGACAAACTTCCTTCAAACCATGAATGTCGGTGACTACCTGTGATGAAGATTTAAGAACAGCACGTCTTTGGATGTCAGGGAGAATCTACCTGCATCCAGTACATTCACAAACATTCAGATAGAACTGCCGGATTCGCAGAATACGTGATGTCAGGTCATGAAAAGTAACAAAAATATATGAAAGCATTTTACTCTATGGTAATCCTAGATAGCATCGCTAAACATTCTGATGGAGAGAAGAAAATACTCAATGCATACGGTTAGATTAGTTCAACGATATAGATTTTGTGACTGTAGTCATATGAGTTATCCATGAAAGTGTGCTAAAAGGGGAAGGGAATATTCTAAAATGCAAGTTACTATTTTGCCAACTTATGATTTCGCACTTCGGTCCACTTATTAGTTGTGAATTAACTTTATACTTTCTTCAGTTGTGATATTGCTGTAAAAGTGAACACGCTGATCGTAGAGCACATGGAAAAGAAGCTGTTTACGTGTCTGTTAACAAGCTGTAATCTAAGAGGTACCATAGCTTACGATGAACCTTGTAAGCTCCAAAAAAAATTCTGTTTCACCGATCGCACCGAAGGATGCGAAAGTTGTTCTTTCTCTGGGAGCTCGTAGGTTGTACCGGCAGGTCGCCGTAGCTTGCCAGCTAGTGACCATCGTTGCCAAGGTGGAAATGATATTCCTAGAAATGGATTACTCTTAGCTGAGCTTCTAGATTGAAATGTCGACATCTTTTTAGAGGAAAACCTGGTAATTCCCATGACCGACTTTCTGTTAACCTCGGCATTAATTGATAATTCAATGTTTTTCATCAATAAGCAGACACGAGGTACACGAGGTCGCATAATGCGAATACAAATCGATTTATCAAGTTTTATCTGCTAGGGTTATGAAAGTGTTTGGCTGAGTAGATCGCATCTCAATTTGACCTTTCCAGGCTCTGAAGAAGGCGAAACCGCCGAAACGTCAGCAATTGTGTTCTAATAAATTCTATATTAACAACCTCGTGTCTGCTTATTGATGAAAAACATTGAAAACCTGGTAGTTTGAAGAAGCCCTCTGTAAAGGCAAGGCAGTTTTGCGTTTTCTGCATTGCAAATATTTATTTATTTGTAATGCATAACGGGGACGAGCGGCGCAGTGGTCAGGGCCGCCCTGCAATGCACATGAGATCCACTCCTACGCCCATGCGCCACCAAGCTTTCCATCCCACCGTCTGAGAGGATAGCAGCATTCGCTTGATAAATCGGTAAGCTACCGCGAGTCATTGTAAAAGGCCAGATATAAATTCAATGACCTCCAAACGAGCTGGGTGAAGTCGAATGTATGGCGCATCTCTATGGGATTGATCAACGCCGGGAGTTTTATCCTCTACTTTATAATGGATATTAGTGAACATGGTGGGCCGGTTTCGAACGTTACAGTTCCCCAATCAAGTAAGTTTATAGTTGATTATATATAGCTTGTTGTACATACATTTAATAATTATATTACATAGATTGTATACTGTTACATATATATATATATATATATATATATATATATTTCTTGAGATATTATGCAGTACAATTACAGTCATTTTTGATAGGCCGAATTTTCCAAAGAGATTCACGCGCTCTCTTCGTCGGCTAAGCCAGTATCCACATGGCTCGGAGTCGAAGCGTTGAGTGAAGCACGGCGAGCGTGTGGTGGACATGGGTATGACAGTACTTAATCACTCTTTGACTAGAAATTATTCAACACTTTCGTTTATCTTATTCCCAATTGATTCTGTTTCCACGTAGTTAATTGCGAGGGTCCACAGCACGTTTATAGAGATACAAACGGGTCAAACAAGAGAGAAAGCGACGAAATTATTATACTCAAATAAGAGTACATTCACATAATGAGCTCTTTGTCTCTGCTGTATCGTATTGACATTTATCTTCTGTATGTACCTTGGTATATTCATGTATGCGTGTCCGGGTATATTTATGTATATGTGTATTACACAATACACGAGTACACGACACGACCATTTCGCTAGACCCTGCTCTGTGAGTGCACCGGTTCTTCACATAAGGGCGGGCGAGCTAGCAATGACTTTTTCTCCAAAAGCAATGGAACTAAAAGGTTTTATATAAAATGTATGCAGATGAGAGAATTCCCCGTGCAAGTAAAGCGCATTATAATTCGGTTGAGTTTCTCAACGATTAACCTGCGATGATGGGATCGATTAATTTCCGATTCGAAAATTTGAAAGTATTTTGTCGTAGTAATTCAAATGAAAGGGTGAGTGTGGCGTAGTCGTCGAAGGCGCCCTGCAACATAGACTTGGAATCTATCTCTGCACCCATGGCCCACCAAGTCTTCCATCCTTTTGTGGGCGGCAAATTGGTACCAGACTTGTCTGGGAGGATAGCAGCACTGGCTCGATGCATCGGTAGGCCACCGCGAGTCATTGTAAAGGCAAGACATGCATTCAATCACCACCAAACGATGCTTAATTAAGTCGAATGCATGGCGCTTTCCTAAAGGGATTGATCAACGGCGAGAGCTTTATCCTCGTTGTAACGTGATAAAAATGGGACAGATAGCGCAGTGGTAGTGATGTCTGTCAACACGAGCATGGTGCTAGTTCGATTGCGCATCTGGGTCGGGAAATTGGTGCAAAATCGGACTTGTCTGGGAAAAAATCACTCTGTGCAGACCATTTGGGAACGCTGCAGTTCGGCTATCCCAGCACTCTAGGAGAATTGTTCGACCAGCATTCTAGGACATTCAAGATGAAATAAAAATCCACAAGCAGCAACCAGACCACACGTAAGAACTTGGAAGACCTTCGTGGACGATGGATGAGAAGAAACGAATTGGATATGAGTAGTGCTGAAATCCGACCAGTAGACGTGAAGACGGATCGAAGAAAACAAAAGAAACGTCATAAGAATGATGCCAGCGTGTTACTGACGATTAGTGGTAGAGCCTTCAAATGTCCAAGTCTACATTTCTCGGCGCCACGTGTTTTACTACACGCAAACGCCTTTAGGTGACTTTCGAACTCGGTTTCTTAATTATTGTCGTGGAGGTGTTGCACAAGGCGTTAATATTCTTCATAAATACTGTTGATAAAGACATCATCTCATAACGTGATTGTATAAATCTGTACAATTCACGATTTATAATAACATTGTAATTTTCCTGTCCTGAATTGCTTAGCTTGCTATGCTTTCTACAAAGAGAAGAATCTTGGGCTATAAAGGTGACAGCAGAGCTTTAAGCTCAAAGCGACACTCGTTGTTCTAAGCCTTGAATTTGCTACGGTTTATAGTTTTATGCTACACCCTGCTAACAGAGTCCACTAAAGTTGATTGAAGGGTTCTCTAACTGTGGGCTACTACTAATGATCTTCGTGATCATGATAAACACTCACCCATGTCGTTTTCTTCGAATCTGTGGAGCCACGCTCTGCAAACGTCTGACTATGCGTTGTCTTGATATTGAAATCGCCAATACGACCTCATCGAAGCTATCTTCTCTGGAGAGCCTCCTCAAGTTCATCTGTAGTGCTTCGACATAGCCTTTGTCACCGCTTTGTGATAGGAAGTAGCCAACGACGTTGGTGTAAGCTAATAATGAGGCACGTCTTTCTAAACGTAAGCTTTCAATACTCGTCGTTAGTTGTGCGAAAGAATCAGCGTTCATCGCTGTTGTGGATAAAGACGCTAATGTAGTCGGCTACTTTACCATTGCATGTTCCAAAGAAGTTTTCTTCTACGTTATTATAAACTTCGTTTACCTATAATTTATTTCAGCGCCTTCTTTTGCCGGACATCCCAATGACCTTGTAATTAAAATCGCATCATCGGGTCCCCGAAGAGTAATTCAGGTGGCCCCTATTTTGCAGGTAAAGATCGTCATCATGGTCCACATAGTCCTCCTATTTTAGGCAGCATAGAACGGTCTAGAAATTTTAGCTTTCCTTAGATCTACCGTATTGCAGACTTTTTGTGGTCAGGGGTATGAGGCCCATTGCTTCTGTAGTTTTTTAAGGATCGAAATCCAAATATGCCATTTACTGCTTGACGATTCCTTCCAGAGTGTCAAGGGAGCTTTTTCTTCAAAGCAACTCCTATCCAATTCCTATACACTCTGCAGTTACTAGAGTGTTGGTTACTTGACGAATCACCATGCAACCCAAAATTTGCCTATATGCAAGCATACCGGCGCATGCATGCACGATTATGTCAACGTGTATACAGAAGATATATGTCAATCCGCAAAAAGGAAACAGCCAGTCCATTCTCTGGATTTACTGCTTCTCGTTAAAACACAAGGCTGCTTTTATTCTGCATTCAGAACCCCGTTCTGTCACCTACGGGTATGCCACATAACCTTGCCGCAAACTCCACAGAGGGAGATTCGTGAAATTTCTGAACATTTTGCTTGCAATTCATTCAGATACCTATACTGCTCAAGGCTTAATGAGTTACGCGACAGTTTCGACCCGTCTCAAACGTTTGAGGGTGAAAACCACATGATTCTTCAACAGACCAGCAATGTTCTGCTTGCTAAGGTTCTGTCATTTTATGTTTCGTCCAATTTATTTTAATTACAAAATGGAAACCTTCGTTCTTGCCTTTAAAATAATAAATTAATAGCCATTTAGTTTTTTGCTTACGAAGTGGCTCCACTTTTATATTAATTGTTCAGTGGAATATAGGTGTTGGAGTCAGAGCTTGACAACGAATAATCATTAGCTCGAAGTAGAATGCTCGACTTTGTACGTATTTGTCACGTGGTACTTTTTGACTTAACCACAAAGCAAAATTACAAGCATGGCTTATAACTGTCTATAGCAATAATAGCAATATAAGATAAACGATGTGACGATATCCCGAAGAGCAAGGAATAAGCACGAAGATGAAAAGGAGACTGTATTAGTTGAGCGAACTAACTGACCGAGCTCGTAATGCTGCTTCTGTAATGGGCGGGATTTTAACAGAACGATTAAGAGATGATGCTCTGAAGGTGATTCTACTAAGTTTCCAGTTTGTACTGATATACTTGTACTGCAATCTGATAGAGCTGCTTCCAAGAAAGCTGTTGAAGACTATACAATACCCACGACCGACTTTCTATCAACCTCGGCATTGATCAAATAATTCTTCGTATTCTTGTTGAGCAAAATTAACGAATAAGCTGACGTTTCAGCAGATTTCGTCTCCCTCAGAGCCTGAAGATTGCTGTCAACTTGACATTTCCAGGCTCTAAGGAACATTGCTGTCAACGTGATCTTTTCAGGCTCTGAGGAAGGCTAAATCCGCCGAAACCTCAGCTTATTCGTGAATAAAAAATAGAAATAACACCTCGCGTTTGCTTAACAACAATACGAAGAGCTATACAATACTTTATACAGAAAGTACATATGTTACCAATACAGTAACTTATACGGAAAGTCCACTGGGAAGTCAGATGCTAGATGAGCATAAAGCTGACAGCTGCTCATTCAGTGCCCGAAATGTCGAATGAGGAATAACAGTTCTTACAAAGTAGTTGTAGAACCTATTTCCAGCCAGCTGCGAAGCATGTGCATGGTCACTAAGAAGCAGCTTGTAGAGTGTAAGGAAAATGTGCTTATCAGTAAACATATTTAGTATCGGGAACAGACGGAAGTATAGAAAACAGGAACTATTGGAGAAGTAATTACTAAGACTATCCAAATAGCTTTTCTTGTTCCTCTCAGTCCTTCCTTCCTTTCTCCATTGCAGGAATGCTTGATTTTAGGCGTTCTATCCATATTGCAGGCTCGAGCTAGCCCAATATCTTCACCGATGAAAACATTCGATTTCCTCTATGAGAAATCAACTCCATACAGTGGTAAATTTAGTGAGAACATCGTAGAAGGTGAATGCTTATCATTACATATAGCCACCTTTTAAACTGCGAATAGTTGTTTCTGCCTTCATTGTTCTCCTGAAGACCTGTTATAACTAGAATAAATTGTATGAGGAGAGAATCCTAGGAATTTTGTAACACCTTGGATAATCACTGGTTGACTATCGATCGAAATTTCAGTGTTAGGATTAATTTCTTCCTAGTATAGTATTTTTACCTAGTACTTCTTTTAGATAACTTTTGTGAAGTAGAAGGATTTCTAGACAGAGCCAAATAATTGGCTTGTCTATCTTCTATCACATGTTCTATTAGTCGATTGTATTCGTGAATACATTTGTAAGTGTAATCTTTTTTTCAAGATGTAATTCACGCTTATAAGTGGGTTATCCAGTTCTACTTGAATCGGACAACCGACGACTATGAGGCGCTTCTTAGGGCTAACGGTGGTGATGTATTTGCCGCACGTAACCATACACAGGTATATTATGAATTTCACCAGAGCTGTTATAGTCAGTTGACTTAAGTATACATTTAATAGAATTTCTTTGTTAAGAAAGATGTAAGGATAAACTTTTTTTCATAAGGTTTGAAAAGCCTTAGGATCATCTTTTGCTGCACTGTTGTTTCGTTCTTTACGGAATACCAATTTTGCATTTCGCAACTCACGTTTTTAAAATTTTGCTTATTATCCACTAGATTTCCATTAAAATTGTTCAATGGCTTCACTGGGCACCTGTGAAGTCTCCATTCGGCCATCTCGCGCGGGTAAGCTACCTGTTGGGCCCTGCATAATCAAAGCACATGGACAACATCATACTTTTGGTACAATGTTCTCTGCCTTTACTATCATTAGCGAAACAGTTCCCATCTGTAGCTCTTTGGAATTCAATGTTGATATGTAGAATGGGAAGGTTGGTACACTCACGATAAACTGGTGATCTATTGGATTGGGGATTATTTGCTGGAATCAAACCCAAACCAATTCCCATACAGTACCATTCACTTGTTTGCAGACTTACGGATGAGTTAACGTTCATAGCACAATCAACATCCACAAACCTGCCGAACATTTCATAGCAAATACACAATCGTTTTTTATTTACATTCAATCTTTTAGTTTTCACTCAAATACCAATCACGTTTGACTGTATTAAGATAATAACTTTTTATTTGCTGCCTACTATAATTTTTCGCGGAAGGATATAATGCGAAATACAACCACAATTATGCTGAGATATTTGCAATACTCGGGACTGCAGGTGTCTGTGATGGGGAACGAGATGCGTTCACCACCACACCGTACTGGTCGTTCGTTTCGCTTGTCTCTCTGCTGGTTCTATCAATCAGTGCCATCACTCATCAAGGTTTTTTATAGCAGCTATAGGTCAGTGATATGGTTGAGGGAAAGGTTAAACGAATTACCTGCATGGTGTGGTGGCGAACGCGTCAGCCCCCGGAAAGGGCACTGGCGTGTTCGTTCCCCAGCGCAGACACCAGCGTTCCAGAGTTTTGCAGATATCTCAACATCACTGTGGTTGTCTTAAGATGCCTTATTCTCTCTAGCCGATTTTTCAGAGTACGGCTCCTTCGTAACACAATTTTTAAATATTCATCTCAGTAGCAGTGAAAAACTACCGCTGACATAATTCTCCTCCATATTTTAGGTGCATAGAGCACACACATTATCCATTGCATATGCTGAGCTTACAATCATCACGTGGAGCCGTAGTTTCGTACAAAATGTTGAACAGCTAGAGATAAGGGAGGTAAGTTCTTTTTGGTAGATAGGTTAGCCAATTTTACTATTTTTCTTTTGTCTAGTGTTTTTTCTTGTTTGCTCGCTCGATCGCTTACTTCTTGTTCAGCTATTTAACCTGGAATCCTGTTTATCGTCTACTCACTTGAGTGGACACCAGAGAACTCTCCATTGATTTCCTTCACTTACAAGAGTCATCCACTGGGTTCCGTCCGCTCTGGAGGCTGAAGGTCCTGTTTTTCTTCTTGAGTTTTCGTAAATAATTCTGCTTATCAGGCTGGTGGTCATGTTGTTAAGCATTTGACATTTCGAGGAATTCACTAGCTAACGGCTCTGGCCCGTTGTTGTATAGACGCATCAACTGTGCGCTCTCCTGATTTTCGACATTTATGTGGGAATGACGGCGTTTCTGATCTTTGATCATTAATACAGGTCGGAACCTCGGATTAGCTCTCTCTCTCTCGTCCGTGATACGGAACACGCAGAATCTCTCTGTTAACTGTGCGTTCGATAGTGCGGAGTGATACCTTCGTTCTGCTTGTGTAGCAATCAAGGCGGACATTAAATCATGGAATGTTGCACTATTGAAAATGTTTACATGAAATCGGTGTTTTGTCTTCTTCACCATATCCTCCCCCTTTATAGTTTCCTATGTCACACACTTGCTATTGCTTAACTCTGGAGCTACGTCCTTCATAACGTTTAATTCTCGGTCCATGATGAAAAATGACGTATGAGGTCGCATCCGTGTGCTGGTGAGGGCAGTGACACTCTTTAAATGTTCGGGTCTGGATCGAGTGTTACACAGTTCTTCACCAATTAGAGGGCATGTCGGAATACGGAACGGAGGGCTTCTTGGATGGCACATTCATCCTCCATATAGAAGGAAACGGACGTATCTACTCAGAAGATCGGACTGGAAATCATGGACGATTTTTACCGCTTTCCAATTCACACGTAGACATCGAATGAAAATCATCTTCCCGTAATTGAATAAGTTTTTTCATTCATTGGTAATGCTTTTTCAGATCTACTCTTTTCTCTAAGGAGCTTTATCGCCTGTCTCCATAGCCTTGCAAGTTCTGACGTTGGTGAATAGCTAGGCCAACTCCATGTGGGTGTACAAACTCGTGTTTCTGTGAACAGACGTCTTTTAGTGAATTTAAAATTCTAGGATTTCTTCGTAGTAACCTGAAAGTATTGAGCAAACCAGTCGTATGCTTGTAGTCGGTAACGGCATTTTCTCATGAACCGGCTTTTGAATATATCATATTTTATTGTTGAGGACTATATTTCCTGATTTTTACGGGAATTTTCAATTTTTTGAAGAAGAGGAATTTAGCATGAAAGCACTACGTAATTTTGAAAAGACAACAGTATCGATTAGGCGAAGCGCTAATTTTAATATGGTGTGATCCATCGCGTTACGCTGTTCTCTGTTGGTAGATTCCCACATTGGACGTTTAGAGAAGGGTTTCCGAAATTGTAAATTACTAGAATAGTTCCGGTGGTTACGATGAACATAAACAGGCGTAGATGACAAGCATCTTCGAACCCAATGTGGGTCCACATCTCCCAGTTTGAATCGGATATTCGGGCCGTTAGTTATCTAGAGGAGTCAATATTCACGTCTAAGTTCCTGTCAACGTGGACAACAACGCCTCCAACCCTGCTACTATCACGCGTTCCAACAATCATCTTCGCTCCGGTATCAATTGGTATTTAACTACTGTTCTCTTATCATTCGAAACTGTGCGACTTCGTCATGATTGACTTCCATATCCGAGAATTCAGAAGCTAGTATGTGTGTGTTACATGTACAGTTCCACCGACTTCTCTTTCGAGACTTATGCAACTTATTATGTCCTTGTGATTTTATCACCTCGTTTTACTGAGCACTCTTTGGATGAGTGGAATAGGCAACATTTATGTTCTCATGTTTCGCGATTAGTACTCGCGGATAGCATGCTGAATTCATGAATGGTGTGCGGATGGATAGATGCTCATGGTTAGCAATTCCACCGTAGACGTCTAGCAAATTTATTGGGCTCTTACCTATCTCCTACATACTTCCCAGTCACTCGATTACAGGCTTTTGGCAAGACTGAGTTGTGGAATACACGATCTGTGTAAACGAAAAGAACAACACACACACACACCCACACACACACACACACACACACACACACACACACACACACATGTATGGACATCTCGATGGAAACAAAAGCGTGTGTTAAACCGGTGCAGCAGAAGCATGAAGTTCATGTTCTTTATCCACTTCGTAGCTGGGGTGAGAAATTGGACTTCGTCCTGGTCGACGTTTAGAACACCTCTCCACCGCTTGGGACGCGTCTTCGGAACTCGTCGGTTAGTGATCCTACATAGAGAGTGATATGTGGGTACAGTGTATTGAAGCACAAAATTTTGAGATATTTCATACTACACTGCCGTCTAAAGTATAGATATAATAACCCAATTTTAAAACAACATTGTCATTTTCTCCACAAATATCTATAATTTTGACAGGTTCTGCATCGCCTGATTACTCTCTATGCTCTGTTCGCTTTTGAGAAACATTTGGCCTCCTGTTACATAAGTAAGTTCTAACTCGTGCTCGAAACATTGCATGGAACTTTATTGCTCAGATAGCCGTCTGACTCTTGCTTACTTGATACTTGAACGGCCTGTCCTCACTGGTTATGTGGGGCTCAGTACGACCTCCAGTTTTCGGAGATTTGCTGGCTAAGCCGTTGTGGTTCCTGGAATCCGGTCAGCCTGGCCAAGGTCTGCTCCAGGTCTTTAGGACCACAGGCAGTCGCAGCCCTTGTGGACCAGAAGGAGATTTGCTACAATGCGAATTTCATACCAGAACGGTGGTGGATCCTGGTATTGGCTTACTCTTAGCTTCCGGATGGAAACGCCAGACTCCTTTTTAGTTTGGGAGACCCTGCCAGAGGATGAATCCCGCGTTGTACAACACAGTCCGACGCCCAGGAGGACCTCCCAGCCACGATGAGGAGGTAAACCGTTGGGAGGGCCGTCTGACTCAACATTAAGAAATCAAAAATAGTATGATGAAGCCCGTGATTCAGCTTTCACAGCACTATTATTTTGACGATGAGATCTTTCCGGTCTTTCCACATCAAGTCGTTGAAGCCGAAAAATTAAGCGATTTGTTACCTATCTTATTTCATGCGTATACTTGTTTCCATTACGCGAATCCTATTTTTCATTTAATTTGTCCTTAACTCCACATTTAACCTAAATTTAATCAACATTCAACTTAATTAGAATTACTGCACATTTCTGTTTTGCCTTTTCCAAATATCTAGCTTTTTTCTTTCACCAGGTGGATATTGCACTGGAGAGAATTTCGGAGAAGGCATTCGATCGAATATTCGACGACTTGAGGCCGAATTAGTACCGGATGCAATCCCTTTGGTGGATGCAGTCGCCCCACCAGATTTTGTCCTCAACTCGGCGCTAGGAGCGAGTGATGGATCGTCAGTTTTTCATACAAATATCAAAATTAAGATATTTACGTTTAACTGACTTCGTTAATCAAATATTTAGACCGTACAAGCATCTGATGCGAGAATTTCGCAAACATACGAACTCTCGGCCAAACTGGTGGAAAGACTTGAGAGATTTTCTCGAACAAAACAGTGCAAGACAGTCTAAACTATGACAAAGTAACTAGCAATGTGACAACGACACTGCGCACCTTTCGTCATGATGTACTTCTACACCATTAATTAATTAAGCAATACCTGCGATTGAATTCTCTTCGACAAAAGTTTCATGACCTTCTCAATGAGCCAATCTTTTACAAATAGTTGAATTCGTCCATCGTGTTTTTATCTTTAAATCTTCTCCCTATTTTGATGAGCAAATAATTCCTATCACTACTCAGCAATCAGAAGAGAAAGAAAACCTCTTGCTTTGGACTCCTTTTCTACATTATTCCTGATTACTTGCTGTTTCATTTTGACTCATCAACAGTTCCCATTTGAGTGCTCGATATTGTGGAGTTCCCAACCTCTAACGGCCTAAGGCATCGGATTTCGAATAGTTCTCATAGTTGAGGCCAGCTTTTGTATCGCTATCACCATTTTTTGCGCAATTATTTGCTTTTTTGTCAAAGCAAAGGTAATGGCATAGGGCTTAGCAGTAAAACGATGTCTTCCTACTTGATTTCTTCACATGCTGTTGTAATTCTATACAATAATTGGTCTCCTTCTCTTGTAATAGACTTTGGCTTAGAAAGTGTTGCGACCACTGCACGAAGTGGTGTCGATTTGTGAAGCTTACATTATGTTAACTCTTTTATTTACTGCCTTTTTCTTCTTAATGGCAGGGTATGTTGTGAAATATAACTCGTATGAAGTGCTGAGATATTTGCAAAACTCCGGACCACAGGTGTATGCAATGGAGAACGAACACGCGCTGTTGTCCTNTATGTTAACTCTTTTATTTACTGCCTTTTTCTTCTTAATGGCAGGGTATGTTGTGAAATATAACTCGTATGAAGTGCTGAGATATTTGCAAAACTCCGGACCACAGGTGTATGCAGTGGGGAACGAACACGCGCTGTTGTCCTTACCGAGGAGCAGCGCACTTCACCACTACACCATCCGGGTCCCTCCCCGGTAAGGACAACAGCGCGTGTTCGTTCTCCATTGCATACACCTGTGGTCCGGAGTTTTGCAAATATCTCAGCACTTCATACGGGCTTACATTATGGTTTACTTGACGCTTCCCACGATATCGAACTTAACAAACAGATTAGCGTTTTGAATCTCTTCTCTGCATTCCTCTAACACAGATAAATTTAACTTGATTTCTCTTTCGCTGTAATTTTTCATATTTTGACTCTATGTGATAAGATCCCCTTGATCAAGCTTATCAAGAAAGAATACATATTGATTAGTCACACCGAGGTTCAAGGAAAGTCGGTTTCGAAATATTACTACGCTTTGTGCTAGCTGATAAAAACACCGACTTCTGCACGATGTGCGCAATGATGTCCGGAAGAAATACAAGTTGTTACCACCGGACATTATCATTATACATACACCATCAGCATCGTGTATAAAAGGGCAACACTGAGTAAGGATGCCTCATTCGAGGAGATGGCTCACTGAGGAAGACCTGACTCGACACGAAGACGAAGCTGCCACGTCGAGACGAATAACAAGCGAGGACCATCGACTCGGATCATCGGCTCTGAGGAAGACCAAGACGTCGAAACGCTAGCCGATAATAAATATATTTATCAACCTCGTGCAAGCTTATCAAGAAAGAGTACAAGATCCCCTTGAGTTTTCTTTGACTGACGTCTTGTACCGCACGTTTCATCAACTAAATATCTCTCAAATTTGGGTAATTATACCAACTACATTATTATTTGCATAAAGGTTTGAGTTTGTGATAGAAGACTTCATGTAAGGGTGCTGCAACGAAGCCGATGGAAGAATGCGATGGTTTTACAAGTTGACAACGGTCGTTTATCCCATCTGAAGCAATGATCTGGAGTACAAGAAAATCAATTGCTTGTGGTACGTTCAACAAGAGTTTACACGTAAATCATGACCTTCCTATGCTCTTCCAACAAGGAAAATGACATTATGAAACAGAACTAAATAAATAAAGATGGCTGAATGTCGTACAGGGTGACGAAGGGTTTAAGAATGCCAAAAATCAGTCGACTTCAATAATGCCTGTTAGGGGTGGGTAAGAGGGAGGGAGGGTTAAAAATGAGCAATTTCGTTTGCATGAATCTGGTAGGTGGTAACGAAATGTTAACAAATAATTGGTCCTATTACATGAAATGTCAGATTTCACTGAATGTCTAAAGTCCTCACTGTTAGTTTCGTCCAGTCAAGAACGCCATTTCACTAGGTACACTAGGTATCTTTTTTTTTGGGAAACAAGTCCTGATACAAGTAAAGTAGTCACCGCACTATATGCTCTAAAAAGTTTAGATCTGAATTAAAAGAAAGCACTTTACTGGATTGTTAAGCTAACACGAGGTTGATAAAGATATTTATTCGGCTAAAGTCTCGACATCTTCGTCTCCGTCAGAGCCGATGATCCGAAGTCGATATTTCACAGTTGTTCGCCTTTTCGATGTGGCGTCTTCGTCGTCATATCCAGTCGAATTTTCTACAGTGGGACACCGTTCCAATGAAGCATTCTCACCCGGCGATACCCTTTTCTGCAGAACGATTGTTGTTGACATGATTGTCCGATGATAACAACTTCTTTTTTCCGGACAATCAATTCCGCAGCAGTTGGCGTTAGAGAAGCCTGCATGTAGCGAAGTAACATCACTGTAAACCGACTTTCTCTTAACCTCAGTATTAATGATCAATGTACAGTATTTCATAGCTTATTAATGAAATACGGTACATTGATTTTTCATGCCAAGATTAAGTGAAAGTCGGATTACAATGATGTACATCGTCAATCTTTGTTTTTGCTAGCTAGCAAGTTAGGTTTATCCTGCTCTTTATTTCCGACGAAATAAGCACAAGTATAAAACGTTTCATGGGAAGAGTCGGTCTGGAGAATTCGGTAATAGTGATTGAAATTCCACAGAGCACTCTAAGGTACCGGCTAGTTCGTAACCGCCTGTTTGACCTCTGCACAACGCAGAATTGCGTAATATGCCCTAACGGTGGAGATGGTCACTGCTAGAGTCGGTTACGATGTACCTAATCTCTTGTAAAACGTGCAAGCACGAACACATTGGCGAAACAGGTAGACCACTCTGAGACCATATAAAAGAACTCCTAGTCGGTAAACTTACACTTAAACACTCCATTAGGGGAGATTTTGAAGTAGAACGGCGCGCAAAACTCTCGAAACCTTTCGGATGAATTCCGAGAATCCGAAAATGAACAGCAGGGAGAGACGTCTCGTTATCACGTCTGATCTCACACACTATTTGAAACTGTCACTGTAATGTGAGAGGCACACTACAGTTCCATGTGAACTCCGTGCGGTTGATCATCACGCGAAACACTTGTTGGAAGACTCGTACAAAGCGATAAGTGTACGAAGAAGCCATTTTATTTTCAATGCAATTGATGTCTTGGTTTAGAAATCTCTCTGTTTGGTTATGGGGGTGTCTCACTGAGTCTCACTGGCAGTCAATTTGATCTTTGCAGGATCTGAAGAAGACCAAATATGCCGAAATTTTCGCTTTTGTAAACAAACGGTGTACAATGACAACATCGTGAGTGCTTACCATGAAAAAATAGCGAGTTGTAACTCGTCTTCTACGAACAGTAAATCCTGCCTCTGTCGGTGTCATTATTAACTAGCACAACCCCCTTCGAAATATTGTTATATTTTGTGCTTGCTGATAATGAGACTAACTGCTGTAGGATGGATTGTCCGTTGAAAAACAAATTACTATCTATGGATAGTCATCAACAGCAACCGTCCTGTATGAAATAGTGCTATCGGGTAGTCTCATTCGAGCACTGCTTCACTGAACAGGATTCGACCCGATGCGAACATGAAGATGCCACATCGAGAAGACGAACAACTGTGGACAATCGACTTGGACTGTCGGCTCTGGGCGAGGAGGAGGGCGAAGACGTTAAAACGTTGCTGAATAAACAGCTTTATCGGCCTCGTATTAACTCAACAATACAAGAACGTGCCGATTTTTACTACCGAGGTTAAATGACAATCGATTTGAAAAATAAAACAATATAAGAATCAGCAATGCAAGTCCAGTTAATTTGTGAAATCCTAGAGAGATGTCGTGCGATGAACCAGTGAAGTTCGACGTATCCGGATATTCTCTGAAAAAGTATGGTACGGAATATTTGCATTCGAGGAATGTCTGAGGTACTCGCAAACACTCCAACTCCGCTGGACCTACAGGCGTATATACTAAGCCGCCTTGTTCTAGAGTTTCCCTGAAGAACTATGGCCATTGGGTCCGTGGCCTCCTTATTGCGCGTTTGAAATCCCGATGACTCCAGTCGCTAAAACTCTCTTGTACACCGGTTGTCGCTCAGCCATATCACGTAGCCGGCACATTTTGATTTTTGAAATTTAGCATATAAAACGCCATCTCTGATCTTTGGTCGTTAACGTAGGTCTGAACATCGCACTCTTCTGGACAAAGAAATAGTATGGATGCAAAGCTGACTCTTGAGACTTAGGATCACCCACGCTTCTGTGCTAAGTTCTTATAAGTTTCAAAACGAAGTTAGTAGCCGTGTGTCCTATGAGTTTTAATGGATGGTAGCCTTTGACTAGTTCATGTTAATGGAAAAAAAGAAAGAGAAGCCGTGTTACAAGGTACCACTAAGCACACTTTTTCGTCTTACGATGTCAATTACTGCTGTGAAACTCACACAGCTCTAGTTTGGATGTCCTATTTGGAAGAGGTGCATCATCATCAGATAAGGCAACTTATAACACATATGTCATCTAGTCCTACCGTGTTAACCAATATCTAGAGTTTCCCCAGCTATAGTCACGACACATCATGAATACCATGATTCTGATAAGATCCTCATTGAAACTGCGTAAAATAGGTTCCATTATCGATTCTTGAAACTGAAGAAGAACCATATGACATAACTCAGTTTTTTTCTTTTCTAGGTAGACGGTGGACTATCTTTAGCCTATAACGTAGAACATTATGACCATTCCAGATTGATGTCTTTGAATTATTCAGCATACACGAAGTTCAGAGACATGTGTTGATTGTTCATGCCGTCGTTAAACGAAAGTGGATCCAGTAAAGTATTAGTGATTGGTAATGAAAATATTCCCATTTGGCTATATTTGCCACACTGGCTGACCCACTGAGACTGAGTAAAGGGCTGTGAAGAAGATGAACACGTCGAATCAATATCTGAATAAATGTTTGCTAACAACCTCATGTTAGCTCATCGATTAAAAAAGGTACATTGAATAGAAAGCGTTTTCGACATAAATTCAGTTATTAAAATGAAAATAAAACGATAAAGATCTTGGCGTTGATCTATGCCCAAGGGATGCGCCATGGATTCGACTTCAGTAGGCATCACTGGAGGCGATTGAATGCATATACGGCCTTTACAATGACTCGCGGTAACCTACCGATGTATCGGGCTAATGTTACTCTCCTCCCAGACAAGTCTGTTACCAATTTGCCGATCCCGGAGGGGCCGGGATCGATTCCATGGGCATTGCAAAGCTCTTAGCACCACTGCGCTACACTGGCACAAGTGATGCTATGCGGTTACGCAACTCTGGATTGAAAGGAATTAGTTGCCATAAGGCGTGATGTTTCGTGCTCCTGTAGCACAGTGGTTAGAGGTGCCTTGCAACACACTTGCTGGTTTTTTCGATCCGGGGTCCATGGCCCACCAAGCCTTCCACTCCTTTGAGGTTGACAAATTGGTACCGAACCTGTCAAGGTGGAGAGCACCACGGACTCGATACATCGGTAGGCCACCGCAAGTCATTGTAAAGGCCAGATTTGCATTCAATCACCTACAAATGATCCTTGATGAAGTTGAATGCATGGCGCATCCCTCAGGGATTGACCAACCCCGATTGCTCTATCCGTTGTCACTTATTCGAAGGTATATTCTCTAAATGTTCAGTCTAGAGGTAAAGACCGAAAAATTCAATCTAAAAAGTTCAAAACAAATACGGTCGCGATGACAAGCCATCATGAAGAATATCACAAGACAACAGATTTCGTCATTTGAACTAAAACTTGTATTCACAATCTTAACTCTTTTATTTACTGCCTTTTTCTTCCTAATGGCAGGGTATGTTGTGAAATATAACTCGTATGAAGTGCTGAGATATCTGCAAAACTCCGGACCACAGGTGTATGCAGTGGAGAACGAACACGCGCTGTTGTCCTTACCGGGGAGCAGCGCACTTCACCACTACACCATCTGGGTCTTGTATCTTCTATCTTCTTGTATCTTGTATCTTCTTTGCAATAAGATGGATGCCACCACTGACACCATACATTCCACATTTAATCAAAATTAGAATGCTGTGACAAGACTTCGCGCACAGGTTGTGGAATGAACTTCAGTCGTCATTTAAAATACATAATGTGTAATAAACATTTCGTGACGACATCTGCTTACTTACCGTATCCCCAGTTCCAGCATGTGTGATGAGGAGTTGGCCCTTAAAGGTGTTGTAAGTAGGGTTTCAGTTCCAGTGAGTAATGTGGGGATTCTGTCTTGCTATGATGGTTTTGTACGTTGTTATCGGAACTTCTTAGCATTGAAAAGATGTTTTTTCACCAGTTTACATTAATACAAGTTTTTGCATCGTTGGACATTATTTCCTCCAGCAGGATCGTTTCCATACCTTCGTAGGTTCTTTGGCTTAAACGAGATTGTCTGAGTGTGATCTAAGGGGATAATCTCTTCCAAACCGTTTGTTATCGCATTGTATCTCCTCTGATTAGTTGCTCTTTGCTGTCTTGATGTCTCTGATATGGAATAAACTGTGGGTCACATCTAGAATTAGGCTTCGCGTATGCCATCGTACTCGGAGCCACCGACCCCGTTACGTGATGACGATTATCTCTATGCTTCACTGGAAACCAGCTCCTATGATGATATAAAACATATCCAGTCTTATGTGAAGGTCAGTTGCATCATCATCTTCGATATCTGTGTCGATGTATTTATGAATTCGTAGTGATGTTTTCAGTCAGAAGTCCTCATGTCGGCCCGTTATAACTGTCTGCGGAAAAAACGTGAAGAGATTGCCAGGTTCTTGGAGAACCACGCAAGCGATGACCTTAGCAGTCATATTAGTAAGTTCTTGGTATCGCCGCCATGTTCTAAGTTCTTAGTATCGTCGTTATGTTCTAAGTTCTTAGTATCACTGTTATGTTCTAAGTTCTTGGTATCACCATTATGTTCTTTGGGAATGTTATCGGGTTTTTCATTCCTGTTACGCTTTGAGAGTTTTAACCTATGGTGGTTGTCTAGCAAAGTGTAGCACAGTACTTCTTGTGATTGCTTCAGCACTTGTTATGCGTTCCTTTATAGACAGTCTCCGATGTTTTGCGAGATCGAACGGAGGTCTCATACTCGATCAGTATCGAGCTCAAATTTGGCCAGTGCTGGCACACCGCCTTTTAAGCTCTGCTGATGGCGAGAATGTAGACGACAATGATAGCGATTCTTTTATGTCTGAATCCAACTCCTCGGTGGCATCGTCGTTAACTCAGGACACGGTATGGTCGATAATAAATCAGTTTTGCACTCTTTTGTGTTCATTGTTTAAAAATTTTGTAATCAAATTGCCATTTTAAAAGTTACCATGCGCTCTTGGATGAAAGTATGTTTAGATGGAAACTGAGGAGGAAGACAGTTTACGCAAACATCCGGAATGGCATCAGGTTCAATTCGCCTTTCTATGTGTTAATATTTACGCATCAGGTCTACTTCGCCTTCCTAATATTATTTTTAGTAGTCACCTTTTATTTGCTGCTTATTTATTTTTCATAGCAAGGTATTATGTGGAATACAACCACAGTGATGCTGCGATATTTGCAGAGCTCTAGACCGCAGATGTCTGCGGTGAGGATCCAACCCACTGTTACCCTTTTCGGGGGCTAACGTGTTCATGACCACACCATGCGGGTCCTTTGTTACGTCGTTTTGTCAGCCATGTTTTAACCAATGGGTGCTATCAACAATCATCCATCAACGAGATTGATCTGAAGAGCACAAATTGGCATTGAACCAGTTAACCTGAAGCTGCATTACCCCTGGAAGTGGTAATAGCAGGTCCGATCCACACCGCAGACACCTGACATCCAGACTTTTGCAAATATCGCAGCCTCATTGTGGTTATATTTGTCTCCTTATGGGCATATATAGTGTTCTTTCCGTAACTGCTACTTATGTTGAGATCCACCATACTATTGAATAATTCACTTTGCACAGTAATTTGTTGGTAGAACAAGCATTTATGGCGAGTTTGTTTTCGTTCCTTTGCACGCTGTCCTGTTATCCTATGTCTTTTTGGGATAAAATTACACTTATTAAGTTCCAGAAAAACATATATCCACCTTTACAGGTTGAACTAGATGTGCACAGAACTCTAGCAAGATTCCCACCTAACATATCTGATGATCGGCGATCTACCCTTCAATATCAGCTCACTCCTTTAATTATTCGAGTGCTTCGCACGAATCCTCGTTTTCGATACTACCAAGGTCTTTGTCATACTATGAGTTAATTGTTTGTTTCCTAGACATTGATATAGTTAAGGTTTTCATGACGTCTGTCTCACTGTTCTTTTGGTTTGCGGTGCTGAGACGGCTTTCGAAGTTTGTCGAAGCCTCGCTCATTATGGGCCTTTTCGTTCATATCTGTTGAAGTCACTAGAAGAAAGTGTTCTAAAGGAGTTGGAATTTTTGTGAGTTTACTATTCTTTAAACTAGCTTTGTTTTGTTCTTTCTGAGAACTTGTTTGCTTCGTAATGCAAAACGTCGTTGTTTGATGAATTCCTCATGGGACTTTTCTTAGATATGTTATTCTGTGGCGCGTAGACCCACAATTGGAACGGGTATTACGAGAAGTGCGCTTGGGTACCATGTTCGCCCTTAGCTGGCCACTTACTTGGTTTAGTCACTCACTTAATGAATACCAGCAGGTGTGTTGTACTTGATAACTAATCTTCTTATTAACAGCATGTTTGTATTCCCGCATATAAACATTGATGAAATGTGCGCCTGTAGCGCAGTGGTCGGAGGCGCCGTGCAGTATACACGTGGGATTGACCTCCACTCCCAAGGCTCACCAAGCCTTCTATCTCTCCGGGGTAGGCAAATTGGTACCAGACTTGTCAGAGAGTATAGCTGCTCTGATTCGGTGCATCGGTAGGCCACCGTGAGTCACCGTGTAAAGGCCAGATTTGCATCCAATCACCGTCGATGCTTAATGAAATCGAATGCATGGCGCATCCCTCATGGATTGGTCAGCTCCTAGAGCTTTATTATCCTTTTTAAGCATTAATGAATGACATAGTACCTATATATAGCTATTAGTCAAGTTATTCTCTCGTTTCGCGAAGTTAAATGGTCGGCTAGCAGCTGTGTTTGCAAATTACAGATTGTACGGTTCTTCGATGTATTTCTCGCCTCACCTCCTTTAACCTCAATATACGTATCTGCTGCTATTGTTCTCAAAAGGAAATCTGCAATACTAACATGTGACTGGTAATAATTTCTCTGTTTGTTTGGATCTTTTGCCTTGTGGAAAAGTTGTGAACAGGAATGGACAGTAGCCATAATACTGAGTAACTGAAGATATCTCCCAACACGGATCTAATTCTATTCAACCATTCTCATCCCTTCTAGCGAAATGCCTGTGATTCATCAGTTACTGTCAACGATGCCACATGAACTGCACCTGGATGCTATCTTGTCAGATTCATTATATCTTGCATCGCTTATGCCACCTTTAGCCTTGAGAACAGAATTTCTACGAATTTATAAGCAGAGAGTAAGTTCCTTACCCCGTACTTTGACAGGTGCTGTATTGTTCTTTTAGCTTAAACGACAACTCACTGTTGTACCTGATTTCTAGGTCAAAACACCAAATTTGAACCGTGAATGGAGTTCCGTGTCGAGGTATGCCATTACCATGGTTGCGGCAGTTGGTATCGCAGGAGCCGCATACTATCTTAACATGGGTGGGAGGTTCTCCTTCTTAGTGTGATTTTGTGATTGTTCCATTTAGTGGGTTAAATATGTACTAAGCGAAAATATGCTGCCATACTGATACATGGGTATTATGTGCAGTAATTTTTTCTCCGTAGTAGGTTTGCTATCTGCACGTCCGGCTTCCTTCTTTGTCTAACTTGTACTGGGTTTATGTAAGATCGAATTGTATAGCTCACTGATCCTTCACCCAGAGCGTAGTAGAGCTATATCTGACATGTATCACCGCCAATTCGCTGCGCACTTATCCTTTCATTTGACGTCGCTATATATCAGAGCAAGATTCGAAGCTTTTCTCACACGCAGCAAAGTGCGGGAAGCAACTGTACATGGTGAGCCGGCAAAATGTATTTTTTCCGCTGATGTTGGTTTTGCCAAACCAGTTGTTTTTTATGAGCAAACCTACTGGTAGTAAGTAATCATTCGAGCTCAACGCTTGTTTACCTTTTGTTCGTTGTTCTAAATACATTGATGGGAATGGGATCTTCTACAAATTAAGAAATTAGGCGCGCATGAGAGGTCTTTGGGACAGAAATTCTCTTCCAAAGCACTGCCTCAGTTTCCTCCTGTTTCCTCCTGCCAGTTAATTTTCATTATATTGTAACAAATTTAAAAATAACGTGTTAAAAGCGTCCTCTACTTGAGAAGGCCTACAATTGTAAATAATCTTCAGATGTTTTAGTGCATTGTATGTTCCCATCATATAAATCAATTATTGAACAGGTCCACATATCTTCCTTGTTATCCCTATTTGATTTCTGCAGTTTTACAAATGCTAATGCTCAAGAAATGTAGAACGATCATTCCTATAGGATCCTAGTCTGAGTTTCACCTTTTTCTGTTCATTAGAGGTTTGTTCGAATCCTCCTGGTTTTCATAGAAAGCAGTTGTCTTCGTAACGAAATAAATATTACCTGTCATATTCGCAAAATGAAGGTTTCATGGAAGAAAACACTTATAGATCTAAAATGGAAGAACAACATTGAAACTATTTACACTCAACAGTAACAATATCGAACAACAAGAACTCAACAACTTAATAACATAAAGAATTCGCGATGATACTGACTTTTTCTATAATTACTGACAATTTTCGATCAGTACTTGGCGGCTCGAAGGCAACAAAAGCGGCGTGTTTCACAATGTCCATTTACCTATCTATCTATGCACATTTTCTCGCAACATATTTACGACGATGCCTACTTTTTAGAGCATGTGCGCAGAACGTAGCCGAATAACTGGTGATGAACTTCTTAAGGATGGCTTACTAGATCATGAAGAACCGCATCTACATTTATAACTGCTACTATAGCAGCGTTGTGTGGGCTGGAAAGTTGGATAACCCACCCATAGAACATGCAGGAAAACCGGACTGACCTTTTCAAGCAGGTCATTCATCAGAACCCGAAGACTAGACAGTTAAACGCCTAACAGAATGAACGAAAGATATATCACGATGTCGAATTTCCATAACGAGCTCACTTCCGCCAACCCTTCAAAATTAGCAGTTATGGAAAGCCACAATTAGGAATAACTACGCGTGGGCACTAGTGTTGTACTATTATAAGAACTATACAGGTGTCATAACTTCACGACTGGTGGGAGAAATAGATTGCGAAACTATGGTAGGAGGTAATAAGTTGTGATCTTAAGTAGTATGTAAAAGCGTTAAATTTAAAAAACGATAAAGTAGATATTTCAGAGTAAAACGCTTATTATGTCACTGTGAGGTTATGACCACAGTTAGGACTATGTAATGTTCGCAAAGACACTTCGAAAACACTGGTGAATGAGAAATGTGTGAATTTTGCATTTTATCGTGGAGATATTCTTACTTTTAATGTGCGAATAGCGCCGCAAAATATATAGCTGAGAAGAAGTGAGTCCTATACGACTAATACCGGCCACGACTTATGTCGTCGATGTGTTGAAGTTGACATGCTAAACTTTTGACCATGTATGACTCACGCATAGTAGGCCAGACCGTCGCGAATTTGTCAACAATTGAGCAACAAAAAAGGACAACATATCTAAACTAATGCGTTTTTGATCCACTGTGCGACCGCTGCGTTTTCGACCATTATTTGGTCATAGTTTGACCATCCAAATTCCTCCTCTAGAGATAAGTCTTCTAGAATCTTTAACAACTCATCAACTTCCTTATCACCCTCATCGCTTCGCCATAATGAAGACCTAAAGCACCTATTAAACCCTAGGTTTTTATTTGCACATGCTTTACGCCCGAATAGAAGAGACTTACCTATGAATTTTTATTGATGCTGCCAAGTAAGCTTGTACTAAATCAAAATCTCTTCTGGTCTTTAGTACCTAAAAACACTCGACTAAGAGTTATAAAACCACAGTACTTGGCACTGCATGATTTTAAGTCTCTCCATGGCTACCTCACAAATGAAGCATTTATATGAGGTAAATTTGAGTTTCCGCAGCGCGTACCAATGGTAGCAGGGCGTCAAACACAAGCGGATGATCATCGTGTACTTACACCAAGATGCAGATGAGTATAGGGTATGGCGACCGCATAATTCTATACATAAACGACTTACTTTCTGTATGTACGCAGACATATTTATGGATGTGTGCATGAGTGTACTTCCATATATAAAGGCCAAAGGATAAAGCTCTTGGCGTTGGTCAATCCCTTCAATCCCTGAGGGATATGCTATGCTTTCAACTTCTTTATGCGTTAAGGGTGAATTGACTGAGTGCATATCTGGCCTATGCAATGACTCGCGGTGGCCTACCGATGTATCGGGCCGGTGCCCGCCCCTTTCCGAGCGGACAGGTCTGGTATTAATTTGCCCACTCCGGAGGGATGAAAGGCATGGTGAACATAGCCGGGATCAATCCTATGTGTATTTCACAGCGCCTCCGATCACTGCGCTACACGCGCTATTCATTCATATATACGGATCCTATCGGGGCACTTGATTCGGCCAGCTATTGGCAATGTTCGGGAAGTATATGTGGGTCGCTTCAGGATTGCGTTCAAGAAATAAGCTCCACTTCTAATCTAAGGACCCAGCAACCATAAATATGCACAACCTGTCTTAACAAACACGAAAAGTCTCCTAGATCCCAAGTTTATATTAGTTTGCCACAGTTTGGAAGAGAATTCGCGACGATATGAACTGATAGTGCTCACATGTTAACATGGTACGCCTACAACTGTAGACTATATGATTCCACCCTAGATCAGGCATAATGTCAACAGATTGGCCAAAGCGAAAATAGACTGCCACCTTTACACACACTGTATACTGAATACTAATGAGTTTAACCACACCAAGCAAAAGCACTCCCTAACTGATGTCGCTAATGCTTGTAATCACGGAGAATCACCGGATTTCTTGAACATAATGATTTGAGATCTTTTGTATACTTGTTCCATTACTGTGACCTACCACTAGTGTTCATTTTATTGTCAAAAAATGTGCAGTAGTGACAAGTACACGAAACCACATGGACCTAGTGTGAGCAGTAAAGGCTTAGCTGTTTATGCGCAACAAATTCTTTTAAAACTCATCGAATAATGCAAGTGAGCAGCGCTCACTATTCCCATCTGTACCCACTAATCTATACTTCACCATTAATAATCATATCGAAAAATCGCCAACAGGGAGAGGTAAGCACAGTGCTATTAATGCTGTACACCACGAGCAGAGTAGTGGTGCGATCCTGCACCGGGCTCACCAAACCTCATCTCCCCATAGTTAAGAAAGCGGTACAAGACTTGTCTGGGAACAGTACACTCTGCAATCCACATGGCACCGCTGTAGCCCACCTATATCAGAAGTATAGGGAGAATCGATTCGACCAGCATTCAACGATACCCATAAAGGCGATATTCCCTGATCAACCTCTGAATCTATACGCGAAAAGTTCGAAGATCTGTGGATTATGGATGCGAGGAAACTAATCGAATGGTAGTACTCGGATCAGAACAGTAGCTGAAAAGAGATGCCATGTAGAAAAAAAAAATAAATGAAATAAAGGTGGCAAACCTCTGTCAACATTTTAAAGAACTTTGGAAGCAGATCTGCTGATAATGTTCGCAACTGGAAGTCAACTGCGGATACGGACATCTTTTTCAAACAAGAGAATACATCAAAGAGTTCCTCAGCAGATGTAGCCCTAAAACAATTGGTTCGTAATAACGATTACAAGCTTACTGAGACTTATTTACTTTCCCTCAAAGGTTCATTGTAGTATAAGTAATGCAAATAATTACTCATCCTCTCAATGACGCACTGAAAGAGCTTTCTAGTTCAAGCAAACTTCTTTTTGCTTGTAATATACGGCGATGCTCGTCGCTATCCTCTTCAGGAACTTCAAATTCGAATCCTTCAAGTGTAGGAGCAGCAGCTAGAAAGAAAGGAGCCTAAAAAGAGAGACATCACTAAGTCCTTCTTTACGAAATATGTTAGCAACCTGTTTCGGCTTCCTCGGAGGTTGGTCTGGTTTGTTTCTTTCCTTAATAAGAGACAGAACTGGTAGATTCGACCATCGAGAAGGGGCCAATCCAGAATATGTTACCAACGACTCATCTATCTGTTAACATCGACACAATTCAAGATGAAAGTACTATTTAAATTCTCCCACATCTTTTAATTCACAAGTTATTTTCGGAATAAACATAGGTAAGTGAAAAGCACATTCCATAGACGACAACAAAGATATGCCAGACAGAAGCGCGAAATTCTATGAAAATCCTGAACACAATTAACATACCTGAGGCTTGCCTTCCCACTCATCATCACTCTCATCATCGATGACAAAAGTGTTCACCCCAATTTCAGCCACATGTGAACTCCATGTAGGTGTATAATCCACGGGAAGCGCTCGAATGTTTACATGGGATGCATACATTTTTTTATTCACCCATATGAAGATCCCTCTTTCTCCCTAAAATAAGAATGAATGCTTTGACTAATGAGACAGTTACATCAGATTTCATATTAAGTTTGCGAAAAATAAACCGAAAATTAGCTCAGAAGGAGAAATTTACAAGCCTACTGCATCGATAGAATTTGCAATACTACCAAATTGTGATGACGAATCACCTTATGAATTGTGGCCAAGTACTCCCCCGAATTGTTGAATGATAATCCAATACAAGGCTTGTCGAACAACATCACATCAATCAGCTGCGATGTCGACAGCTCCCAGACCTATACCTCACTTTCTAATTGTAAGGTCGTAAAGAAAACAACACTGACATTCTCATAGCTACAATAAAACGAGTTCCTCAAGGAAAAAACAATATTTCCTCAGTAGTAGAAACACAATGTGCCCAAAATTAAAAGGATATCTTGCAATCAAATATTTAAAGAGAAACGTTTTACTATTCAGAGAACAGCAACAGTTTCTATAAGTAGTGTCGAAATACCTTAATGTACTTTGAGTCATCTGCAGTAAGTAGCCATCGTCCATCGCTAGAAAATTCTAAGGCGTTTACGCAGCCTCCAACAGCTGTTATGTTACGAACAACTCGCCGGCAAAGTACATCAATGATGGCTATGGAAACACCTCAAGCATACAAAATAAGCATCTCAAGTAACTTTCTCCTCTGTTGGAAACATTTTGTTTCAGAGTAAACTTAATATTGTGGAACAATCTAAGGATTGATCTTCCTCAAATTACACGACTGACCCAGATTTTAAAACTGTTTCACGATTCGTTTTGCCTGTCTTTCAACTGGTTTTCTACCTACCAGTGCCATCAGCAATCACTCGTTAGCAGCAGTGATCTACAGATTTGTGATACCCGGATCAATACCGTTTAAAGATAACTGATAGCTGATGGCACTGATAGACAGAAAAGTAACTGAGAGACAGGCGAAACGAAGGACCCGCACGATATGGTTGTGAAGGTGTAAGCCCACGGAAAGGGCAACAGTGCGTTCGATCCCCACTGCAGACACTTGCAGTCTGGAGTTTTGAAAATATCTCAGCAACGCTATGGTTGTTTCATGGTTCTACTTACATAATGACCAGAATATTGTGAAACCAAAACTAAATTTCAAAAACAGCATTAACGCCCTGAACCCTACCTCACTAATATAAAGGCCTCGGTCAGATATGGCTTACCACAAGATAATGACATCACTCGCAAATATATAGAACAATAAAGCGTGAAGTTATCTACATTTAAAAAAAGTTCTAACCTTCAGATCCTCTACATGACACTGCCAATAAATCGTTAGACGTACATGACCTGGAGCGTTCAACACTGAATCGAGTACACATCGTCGCCAGCAGCTTGCCACTACGCAGTTGCCAGAATTTCAATCTACCACCGTAGCAGCCAGTAACCAGCTCGGAACCACGTGCGCCCACGGTTAACGTGGTGATTTTTGAATCATGCGCTTTTTGCGACTGAACTAATTCTTCTTTATCCTTTCGACTTAAATACATGTGAAGTTCCACGTTATAGATATAGCACCAAGCTGATAAAACTTCAAAAAAGGATTCCTGGTCCGATAGGATTAATCCGTGGATAAAAATGGCAAATGGACACGAGGAAAAGTAAATTTACCTTGAACTTTTCAATCTTATTCGAATTTTCTTCAACGTCACACTGTTTACTAAAGGTCTTTACATAACGGCCGCTTTGAACATTGAATTGGTCAACATGGCCTGAAAAAAAATAGGAGCTAAACAAAGATTGAAATTCTATTGTAAAAGAAAACTGTTCACCCGTTGAATATCCTATAAAAGCAAAATTTCCACACGGAGAAAGCGTAATTGCTGTTGCAACTGCATCTGACAGAGCAGCATCTTTGAGAAATCTTTGATGGATGAGCTAAAAAAGAATGGTTTAAAAGAAAAAAAAGACTATGGCAAATAGAATAGTCAAGCACGGTGGAACGGTAAAAAATTGACTGAACAGACCTTATGTGTTCCTTGCGCATTCCTTCTAGTTGTCCACGTAGTGACAACCAAGGTATTCCTTAAAATAACAAGAACGATTAAAAGGATGATAGCGCAGAAGGATGGGAAAAATGATGTTCAAGTGTACTGTAAGCTCACGCATGTCTACACAATACATTATCCCAGCTCGCTTCGCGGCTCCATCCAATTGCCATGTCAACAACGGGTGCCAAGCGTATGCTCTCCAGTGGGATGTGTTTCTTTTTAGCTATAGCTCTATAGAAGAAACATATTAAGTTAAGCACAACAACGAACTATATAAAACCTTCGTCATACCTGGATATCGTCCCTGCACTCCCAAGCTTTTGACGCATAGTATCCACATTAACCATATATTTACGAACGGAACCATCCATCCCAGAAGATAAAACCTTCAAAAAGTTAGTAAACTTTGACTTGAAATCAGAAATCAAATAAAACAGATGTTAAATGAAAGACAGATCATAATCTTAAGCTATGAGAAACTTATTAGCAACGAATTGAAGAAACCCAGAACAAATCCGTGCTCATTCTAGTCACTTTCAGTCGAACTGATGTGATGGATATATAGTCTCCAAACATGTACATAAGCATCTACGCACGAATGCATAAATGCTCTTTGGAAAGGTATAAGTTAATCATGTTCAATAGAGAGTCGATATGTTTAACAGTTCTGCCCCAGGTAAAACAGGCAATTAAATCAAAAAATCGCAGCCAGTCTTATTTGATTCAGATTCAAGTTCCGTTTGGTGGTACTTCGAGACCACCACGTACACCCGGAACTAACCAGCTCGACAACCCTTACATTAAGATTCTTGGGAGAGTGTAGCCGTCAAAACCATGTTCCAAATAAAACGAGACAGTTGATTAGATTTGCCAATTTTTTGAAGTCCATTCGATGTAAAGGTCGGCACTTTATTTTCCACAGACAAAAAGGTTACGAATAGGCACAATGCCACACGACCTCTCTTTCAATTCAATCATACTGGCTCAGGTAGCGCATACACACGCAGGGTTTGAAAGAAAAATAAGCTAAATAAAAGGATTGAGTAATAAATTCCTTTTAATAAATAGCTGCAACCCAGCCAATTGCACTATTATTTCCGAATTCGGTTTCACATGCCTCTTGCTTGCTGGTGAATTGAACTGAAGTTACTTCATCCGCGTGTCCCTCAAGAATAACGAGTTGGCGAGGCACACCATCAGCCCCATCAAGCACCCATGTTCGTAGTGAATTATCGGCGGATGCCGATACCTTAAAACCAAAGAGATATGCAGAGATTACGAAACAGCACTGCTTAGAAACATACCATAATAGGTTCTCCTAACATGAAATATAATTTAGTTACTGCAGCATGGTGAACATTAACTACTTTTCCCATCAGTTGACGCTTCTCCAGATCCCACACCACTATGTCTCCACCGACGTCTGCAGTTGTCATATAAGGTTTTCCGTCATTCCTTAAACATTTATTTCAGCACACTTTAAACCTAGATATGAAACAGGTACATCTAAAGATATGCCTCTCAGAAACTTAAAATCTTGATGTACTATGTTAATATAGAATTTATGGCATTTTTGGATAACTGGACATGGGAACGATCCGGCGCCTCTGGCTCACCAAGCCTTTCTTCACTCCTGGGTCGGCAAATTGGTACCATACTTATCTGGGACGACAGCAGCACTGATTTAATACATCGGTAGGTCACCACGAGTCATTGTAAAGGCCAGAAATGCATTCAATCATCTCCAAACGATGCCTAATAAAGCCGAATGCATGGTTCATCCCTTAGGGATTGGTCAACGCCGACAGCTTCATCCTCTACCCTTTCGTTATTCTTTACGGAAGGATATGATGTTAAATACAAGCGCTATCGTACTGAGATACTTTCAAAACTTGAACCCCACGTCGGACAGTGGCTGCTATTACCCTTTTCGGGTTCATGTATTACCCAGTGCACCACTGAGCCCCTCGCTTTGCCGCTCTCTCAGAGAAATGATGGTATATGGTAAATAAAAAGTTGACATTGTGATTCCAACTACAGCACCAACTTAACTTAATACCGATTTGCGCTCCCTAGATCATTTTCGTTGAGGGATGATTGCTGGTGGAACCGTTAGGTAGAAAAGTGGCTGAGAGAAAGGCAAAGCAAGAGCTTCGGTGGCGGAGTGGGTAACACGTGAGCCCGGAAAGGGTAATTGTGGGTTCGATCCGGCGATGGGGTTAATGTTTCGCTAATATCTCAGAATAACAGTGGTTATCTTTGAAATATTTGAATGCATACCACGAAAAAGGGGATAGAAGTGAAAAACACAGAAAATCAGAATTGGTTGGAATAAACATCAAGAATATTCTGTGAAGTATCACGAAAAGAAATAAAACGGAAGTATAGACAATAACAATGACTAACCGGAATCCAACAGCTGATATGGCCTTTTCATGTCGAAATTTGCATATCGTCTCGTCCACTCGCACATTGTGCAGGAAAATTTGTCCATTGGAGAGTCCAACGGCCAAAACATCTACTGCCGGAGACTGCTCAAGTACAGTGACTGCAGCGTCGAAACCTGAATACAACATGAAACTTAACCAGAGCAAATTTTCGAACAGTACAAGAAGTAACCGTAACCGGTAGACCTTCCCGACTGGTTTACACCTCATGTTGATGGTGTTCCTAGGTATCGAAGAGGAATGTAGAGACAGGTTGACACCCCCTGCACAGTCTTCCAAGCAGAAAACTTGTGAAATTGTATTCATGGGGATGCTATGATAATATTAAACTAATGTCAGAAGCCAAAATGAATCCTGGTACGCAACTATCTGCAAGATAATGTTATACCTTTTTATGTTCTGCCTACTACAATTTCGCGGCAGGGTACTAGGGGAAATACAACCACAACGTTGCTGAGATATTTGCAAAACTCTGGACCGCAGGTGTCTATGGTGGGGAACGAACGCGCTATTGTCCTTTCCGGGGAGTAACGCGTTCACCACCANCCACCATAGACACCTGCGGTTCAGAGTTTTGCAAATATCTCAGCAACGTTGTGGTTGTATGCAAGATAGTAAAAAAAGATCCAAACAGCTGGGTGCTGGACTGTGGTGACCATTTAGAACGACATCAGTAGCGCCACCTGGAGACTACGCACAGTAATTTGGCCCGATCAGAAACTACCAGTCAAACGGAAATGGGACCTTAAATGACGGGACTACGCTCCAACCTTCGATAAGATCTACATGCCAAAGTAATTAAAATGGAGCTTTAGTGAGCTACACTAATAAACAACATCAAAGTAAACAATACTAAAAACAGGCAAATTACCCTTGGCAAATTCATGGATGATACGACCAGTATGAAAGTTTATAAGGCGCAATGTTCCAATTGAAGACCCGACCACAACCTGAAGACTATATAAGTAACAAAACAATAATACTCCACGTTATAACAGTTACCCATTGGTAACTGGGCCATTTTGTACGTTTTTCCACAAACAATTTACAATCGAATTAATGTTATTCTATGAATAAATTCACCTTGTATAAATACGTGCTCGGATGAACCACGGCAGTGATTTGAAAGCTTTTTGATCCTTCCATACTCAAAGTCTTTTGACCGTCACCAATGTCGAACACCCTGATGCCGTCTTCAGTATCGATAATGACCTAGGAAACAGAATGATGATCAGCAGGAAAAAGTCGAGTTTGCTATGCAGGACAACTACATGACAATTCGAAATAAATGACTGCGGTTTCAGCAAGCGGACTTAGTTTACGGAAACTTGCCCTGATCAATAAAGAACAAATTGTTCGGAATAGAAAGAGTAAAAAATTTCAAGAAAACAATGTGGTTACACCTAAACAAATGGAAGTATAACCACAATGGCGCTGAGATATTTGCAAAACTCCGGACAGCAGTTGCCAGCGGTGGGGATCGAACCCGTTATTGCCCTTTCCGGAGATTAACACGTTCATGAACACCATGTAGGCCTTTCGTTTCTTTTTTCTCCCATCTAGTTTCCTATTGTGTTCCCCAAGCCAATCCCACTGATGGGTGATTGCTGATAGCACCAGCTATAAATAGGATTGAGACAAAGACGAAACGAAGGACCCCAATGGTGCGGTGGTGTACGCGTCAGTTCCCGGAAATGGTAATAGAGTTCGACCACCATCATAGACACCTGCGACCCGAAGTTTTGAGAATATCTCAACTTGTGGTTATATTTCACATCATATTCATTCACTTCATTCATCATCACTTTAAAAAATAATAGGCAGTAAATAAAAAATGGCTATAAATGGAGGTAGTTTTGGAGACTATGTCCATAACCTCACCAAGTAGTCACCAATGACTTCCATAAACTTCGTCTTTGCTCCGACTTCTATGTATCGATCAACGTGACGACATGTCTTCATAACTGCAACTGCAGTACCAGTGGCAGCATAAACTCCACTGTAACACAAAATTGAATGTGTAGAATCCAACAGGAGACAAACAGGAAACTCACGAACGATCCGCTGCTACGGCCGTCACTATGTGAGGAAGCACATCGGAAATGCCAACAAGCCTAAGCTTCTCCGCTTTGTAGTGCAGTATGACATTATCTACAGGACACAACAGTGACGTTATCCTAAGGTTTAGTATAATTTTCTACTTTCCCAGGGACTGAGAAAAGAGTTTGCTACAAAAAAAAAAAGATTAGATACAGAACACGGGAATAAATGCATTTAAAGAAACAATGGCATAAAAAACGACAGATAGCTCTGGTGAGAATTGAAATAACGGATCATACCGAGTTTTCGACTCGTTTAGTCGTATAACCGGCTTCACATCCGTGCATACCACTCCCATTGAACGATATGGAGCAAACAGTATGGAATCTGCACGACGCATTTCACCTGAAAACCAAAAGAACACCTAGGATTAAGAAACGACTTATCTTAACAAGGTACAAGGATAAAGGACAAAGCCCTCGGCGTTGATCAATCCCTGATGGATGCGTCATGTATTCGACTTCACTAAGCGCCGTTGGAGGTGATTGAATGCATATCTGGCCTTTACAAAGACTCGTAGTGGCCTACCGATGCATCGAACCAGAGCTGCTATCTTCCTAGACAAGTCTGGTACTAATTTGTCGACCATGAAGGAATGGGAGATTTGGTGAACCTGAGGCGCGGCAACCGAACCCATGTGCATTGCTGGGCGGCTCTGAGCATTGACCTACGCGCGCCCAAAACACACATAAATATTATAATATGGTAAATTGGAAATGAAACTGCTTAGATAGACGAATGCAATACGTATAACAAAAAAAAATTTTGAAATGCAAAGAGATGGAGAATTTATTTAAAAAAAAATCTAAATTGATGTTGTTGGATGGTGCATATTGTCTGCAACTTCACCATACACACCGTATTTCGAAGCCACAAGTGTAAATTACACCAAACGATCACATCTGTCCTTCTGTCGTAACGATTTTGAGAGATACTTTGTATTTGCTAGTTTTCCTCCTTATGCTTTTATGCCGTGACATTGTAAACCACTCTGTGATATATGGCCCTAATGCTGCTGAGATCTTTGCAAAACACGGACTGCTGGTGTCTGCGGTGGGGACTGAACACGCTGTTACCCTTTCCTGGGACTAACGCGTTCACCACCGCTTCGTGCGAGTCCTTCGTTTCGTCTTTTTCTCAGCCGTGTTATTGACCTATAGATGCTATCAGTATTCTGTGATAAGTGGTGAATTTACAGTGTCTCGTAGATTAGGGACGCGTGTAGCGCAGTGGCTATAGGCATCCTGCGGTACACTTGGGATCACCAGACCCGCTTGGGAGGATAGCGGCATTGGCTCGATACATCGGTAGCTCACCGCGAGTTGTAAAGGCTAGATATGCATTAAGTTATCTGCGATTTTGCATAAAGAAGTCGAATTCATGGCGTATCTCTGAGGGATTGATCAATGCCGAGAGGTTTATCCTTTGTTTTTATCCTAGTAGATGAGTGAGAGGTGAGAAATACTTCATCACAGCGATCCTCGAGATTTATGTAATGGGTTTCACCGTCAAGTATTTTTGATTATACTTGTACTGGTATACAAGACGTGTCTTTCAATTCTTCCATACAGTACGTGTTAATGTCACCACTCTAAAACGTTTAGAAACTTGAGGTATTGTACAGAGCTACGAACTTCGACCAAATATTATTTTAAAAGATTTAGGAATACTTTATGTACCCAAATTTTGATAAGCTCAGGTTTGATCACAGTTTATTTAGGACGGATTTGTTCTATACAGGTAAACTATGCGTCGGATCCACGATTTTCCTCGTCTAAGAAAGTTCATATAGGTTATTCTGAGGACACGTAGCAATTCTGGAGGCAGGTAGGAGGTTAAACTCAGACAAGAATTTGCCATCGGATAGAGTTGTCCTGTTGTATTGCCCTGGAATGGCATATTCTTATAGCTATTCGTAAATGTGTCTGGATTGTATCTTTCCCGTGGTTGGTTCGATTAGAAGCCTGCAGTGAAGGGAGAAATCATCGGTGATGTTTAAACAAGTCTCACCTCTACTCCGACAGAGCTCGGAAATCTAGTTGCATATGTCTTTCAGAGAAAAGAAAGCAGTAAAAGTAAAGGGTTTTATGCGAAGTGATTGATGTTATTCCTATCTGCGATCTAACGTATCCCTCTAGGCACCATCAGGGTGCTACTGTGAAGACAATCCAGTCGTGTTTGCTCGAGCGCCTGATAACTAAGTGGCTTAGAAGTCGTACAGACTATGGTAAGGAAAAGGTAATCTGAATAATCACCAGTTTTTTGTTGAAAGTGAAAAGTTTGGGGATTCGATGGTCCTTTAGGAGAAGGATCGCTTGTGCCTTATTTGAACCATTCGTTTTGAAGCTGAATCCATACTTCGATAAAGGCTCAGACTTAGGTCCGAATCTGTCGTGTGAACTTATTCTTCTCCTTATTCCTACAAACTTTCAGTGGAAAACCAAAGTCTGTTATGAGTACCATCAGTAACGAGCACAGACTTGAGCTCCTGTGATGTGATTAGATTTACAGGATGTCCGAATGTTGTCAACTTTGTGTTTGATGACATGGTTAAGTCTCGAAAGTTATAAGATTTTTCAGGTTCTGATGACAACTTTCTCAACACGTTATTCGAGGCTACGGGATAACGTTGATGAAGAGCCAACTAGCAGTGCTTTCGAAGAGATTATTATGAAGCAAGAGGTAGTTCATACTTTTCTCTTTTACAAATATTCCTCATTCTTGTTCATGCTCTCATTAATCTTCTACCTAAACCTATTAAAACCGACTGTGGTTAGGACAATGAATAAGCGTATGGGCGACTACTTGTCGTATATGTGTGATGATTGTTTTCATCAGAACTTTATTGATGTGATTAAAGGGAAGCAGGAATAGCAAAATGTTAATATATCCGAACCTCTTCATGGTTTATCACCTCATCGTGGCTGAGAGGTGTTCCTGGGTGTCGAACTGCGATGTAAAGTGGGATTCATCCCCTCGGCAGGCTCTTCCAGGCTGAGAAGGAGTCCGGCGTTTCCACCGGGAAGCCCAGCTAGGAGTAAACCAATACCAGGATCCACCACCGTCCTGTTACCGAACTAGTCGCATGGTGGCAAATCTCTCTTTGCTCCACAAGGGCGGCGAATGCCTGTGGTGGTGGCGGCACCTGGGGCAGACTGACCTGGCTGACCTCGGAACTCCAGGGAACCGCAATGACTAAACCAGCAAAACTCCGAAAAATGGAGAATATACTGGAGCTCGCACAACCAGTGAGGACAGGTCGTCCAAGTATCCAGGTAAGTAATATATCGGAAACCCGTTTATTTTTTTATTTACTCTGACCTTCCTTTAGTGTTTGAGCGTTGTATTTGTCTGGGTTCAACTTATTTTATCACATTCTCGATGGTTCATAATTTTGCGTGGGAGGCAGGTAGGCCAACACTTAGCGTTTCGCCCTGTTGGTTGCGAGTTGAAATCACTTCATGTGGGTCACAGGTTCCTGACAAAGAATGATTGCTACCTTTCTGTTGTGTCTTTCACTCTACACTGATCGCTCACAACCTTACACTGGTTTTGTAAACTTGGTCCTCGAATGAATTTGTTTAGCAAACTACGTTTACATTTAAGAACCTGCACATCACACTATTTACAGTGTGCATGAATTATGCAGTTATGAAGATTTGAGGCCAACGTTGTTCATCCACCATCTCCTAACCTCATAGTGGCCTTCCTGTTTAAGTTTCCTCGATCCACTTTCCGCAGAGTTTTCCATGGTCACCAGAAAAGGTCCCGCGTTTGCCTCAGTGTCTTCAATATCTTTCTGTTCTTATCCACTGTCAAAGAGCAATTACGTTGTTAAATTCATCTTCAGTCGACGTGATTCAAGCGTATAAATTTATTTTTTTTACTACTAATTACCTTTGGATAGTAAATGTGACGGTGGTACTAATGGTTAAGGTTGGTTCAACCCCGCCATGGACCTACAAGCCTCCCATCTATCCTACGTCGTGGAATTAGAACCAATCAACTTTCAGATAAGGAGTGTCGAGCTTACGACCATTCAATGACTTTCATGAAGAAGACGGAAAATCCTCAAGAACTACCAGAATCTACGCGCCAATTCGGAGATCTTCGTCTGAAATGGAGCAAGCAAACGGGTCGAATGGCATAGTTTCTAGTACCTATACCGTATGTGAATTTCACATAAAAATTAGATTAAAAAAGGACTGGTTTACTTTGTAGTCCTTTTAACTGTCAATGGCAATCTTAGGGGCGGGGGTAGCGCACTGGTTAGTGATGCCGTCGACCACGAAGCAAAGATACTAGTTCGATCTCCGCCCCAACGCTCTCCTCCAATTCACGTGGAAACACCTTAACCCGGCTATTCCAAGGATTGCAAGGAAATTTGACTCGTCTAGCATTCTACGTCATACATAAACATAAAGAACGAAATCCTCAAGCAGCAGCTGAAACAACATGCGAAATATTAAAAGAAAGAATACATATTGATTAGTGATACCGAGGTTCAAGGAAAGTCGGTTTTGAAATATTACTACGCTTTGTGCTAGCTGATAATAACACTGACTTCTGCACGATGCGCGCGATGATTATGTTCGGAAGAAAAACAAGTTGTTATCACCGGACATTATCATTATATCGACTATCAGCATCGTGTATAAAAAGGCATCACTGAGTAAGGAAGCCTCATTCGAGGAGATGGCTTACTGAAGAGGACCTAACTCGACACGAGGACGGAGCTGCCACGTCGAGACGAATAACAAGCGAGGACCATCGACTCGGATCATCCGCTCTGAGGAAGACGAAGACGTCGAAACGTTAGCCGAAAATAGACATCATTATCAACATCGTATAAGCTCATCAAAGAAAGAAAATATGCGAAATATTCGAAGGCCAATGAGAACGACGAATGCAAAGAAAACGAATCGAATGCGAGAAGTGCTGGGATCCACACAGTAGGCGCAATGACGGGTCATGTAAAATCGAAACAAAGACAAATGACAATCTTATGGTATTGTTAAGAAGGATAAAAAAGGTAAAGATCACGGCATCGATTAGTCTATGAGGGTTGCGCTATGAACTCTAATTCGTCAAGCATCGTTAGAGGTAACTGAATGCATATTCGTTCTAAACAACGACCTAATTGCCTTACCGATATATTAAGTCGTTCTTGCTATCCTGTGAGGCAAATCTGCTATCAAATTGCTTATCCCGGAGGGATAGAGGACTGGGTGAATTCTGTTGGAGGGATCGAACTAGCAACCACGCCTGAATTACAGAGCATCTCTGACCACTGCGGTGCTTGTGTCATGGTATTGTTGGATTACCTGTATCACCAGTAGTACCACTGATCATAGGGTAACTCGAGCGGACGCCAGTAAATTTTCCATTTTTCCTTGTAGCGTGCAAGAGTAGTCCAGTGGGTTGTGTTCGCTCTAGGGACTCGTTGAGCATCATATCTTTCTTCAAGGCTCTTCGCGAAGAACTCTGACCATCGGGTAGGTGGTCTTCCTGCAGTATGTTTGACATCCCATGGAACCCAGTCACTAACGGCTATTGTCTATCGATTGTCATTCATGCACATAACATGTCCACCTCACCTCATCGACAATTTGGCGTACAGAACGGCATGCTTGATTTTTCATCATTGACCCAGATCGGAGCTTTGGATCCCATCTCTTGTGTGGAACGGGATACTCTTAGCATCGTCCTTTCGATTTCGATGCAAGTAACGCTGAGTGTTGTTTCATCCTGCTTACACAGTGACCAGGTTTCTGACGCATGCGTTAGGGCAGGAGGTACCGCTGAGTCGAAAAGGTGGGTACGGAGTCGGATTATCTCTGTTCTCCTCACTACTTCTTCGATGCTCTTAAAAGCCTCCAAGGTGCTCGTTTCCTTCTGCTCAACTCTGGAGCTAACTCGTTCATCACATCAATTTTCCGACCTAGATAGACATAACCGGAGCATTCGGAGATATTCGTTCCGTTGAGCGTGAATGGGGCATGCGAAACCAATCCGTTCCTCACGAACATCGTTTTTGTGAGATTTAGTCGAAGTCTAATCTTTCCACAGGCTTCTTCAAACCTAGCCAACATTCGTTCCTCTTGGCTAATGTTTGGTGTTATAAGGACGATGCCATCAGCAAAGTGAAGATGGTGTAACTGTACCAGCCATCGATTTTCACTCCCATATTATCCCATTCCAATGTTCACACGACGTTCTGGAGGGTGGCGGTAAATAATTTTGGCGAGATGGTATGGTCTTGCCTAACCCCTTTTTTGAACCCCTCTTTTGACGTCAATGTTAATGTCGTTGTAGAATGATGATATCTTGGTTGTGAAATTTTTGTACAGCTCACGAAGAATCTACATGCTTCGTAGGGAGTCCTTGATTATCAAGGGCTTCCAAGACTGCTTCTATCTCAACTGAATCAAAGGTCTTCTATAAATCGATGAAAGTGAGACAGAGCGGCCTTTTGTACTTCGGCGATATTTCAATGAGTCTTGTTAGCGTGTGGATGTGGTCCATCGTACTAAATCCTTTTCGAAACCCTGCTTGCTCATGTGGCCGCCCTTCGTTCAGTGTTTTGTCAATCCTGTTTAGGATGACTCGAGTGAAAAGTTTGTAGACGATAGACAGCAGGGAGATTGGGCGATAGTTGCCGATGTCGTGAGGGTGGTCACCTTTCTTGAACGTTAGCACGGTCTTGTTGGTCTTCCATTGAGTATGAACTTTACATTCAGATATTTAACGTGTCAAGAGCCGAACTAGTATGTTTATGAGTACGGGCGGAAGGTTCTTCAGGTGTTCGGGTTTTATCCTGTCCAGGTCTAGTGCTGTTCGATTGTTCACCGACGAAATGGCATGTCGGATTTCGGAAGGGAGAACCGGTGGTACAATGTACCCATCCTCCTTTATTTCATATGACGGAAGGTGGACATGGCTATCGAAGAGATCTGAGTAGTATTCGGGAATGATTTTCGCCGTTGCCTTTCTGGACGCTGTAACTGTTCCGTCTGGGCCCCGGAGAGCAATCATTTTGGTTTTGTAATCGGCGAAACTTCGGTGGGCTTTGCGAATGCTTTTTCTAGCCTTTCCAGCTTCAGCCATTACTGCTGCTCTTCTCTCTTTAAGATCTTTTGTTGCTTGTCTGCATTGTTTTGCGAGTGCCGACGTTAGTTCGCGGTTGCCTGCAGCTCGTGCTGGCGTGTTAGCTCGAGTGTTTCTAGAGAAAGACGCCTCTTGGTGACTTTCAAACTCTTAGCTTTCAGAGTGCTAACGTGAAAATGTTGAACTAGCCCATCGTATTCTTCGTTGATGTTATCGACAACGCCATCGTCCCAACAGCCAGCTAATGAGTTGAATAAGTCCCAATTTACAGCGGTTCTGGGACTTCGGTTGTTAGCGGCTTTTTCTCCTTTCTGCGAGAAATGGAATCTTGCACGAAGGAGGAGATAGTCTGATTCCGTGTAGAATTTTGAGACAGCAGCGACATCGGTTAAGCGAAATCTTCGGTTTACTCTGATATGGTCTTTCGTTATGGAACTCTCCATTGGGAGACTCCCACATCCATCGTTGAGGGTGGGGTTTCTGGCATTGCGAGTTACCATGGATGGTCTTGGTCGCCATGATAAACACAGATAGCCGCTCACACTGTTCGTTCCATTCAAATCCGTGAGTCCCAATGTAACGTTCTTCAGACGTTCTTCTTGGTCCAATCTTAACGTTGAAATCTCCAATTATGACCTTGGAGAATCTGTGGTTTTTTCTGTAGAACTTCTCCAAGTCCATATAGAACGCTTCGACTTCTTCTTCGTTATAGTTTGATGTCGGTGCGTAAACGACGAATATTATCAAAGTCGGTATTGATCCAATTCTTTTTAATCGTAAACGTCCGATTCGGATTGTTAGTTGTTGAAGTGAATCTATGTTCACAGCCAAACTCTTTTTCTCGGGTGTTATAGACGGCGTTGAATGGGTGGCATCTTCTCGTCTCAACCAGTTCTACGGCGCCGCACACCTTCCCTCTGCCTCTATGACCGTGTAATCTATAGAGGACTCAGATGCAAGTAAGCGTCCATTGAGTTGCAGTCCAGGTATCTTCCATTAGCTCTGAGATTTTACCGGCCTCTCCATACTCGTCCTACTCATTGCTGCCGAATTGGAGGCTCTTCGGGGTCAGAGGCCTGTTTCTTTTACTGTGTTTAGCATTTCTGATACCCACGTACAGCTTGCTGGGCTCTGAACGTGGGGCCTGGGTACACTCATGGGTAGCGTGCCAGTCTCTCACACATTGAACGTGGAGCTTATTTGTTGAAGGCGACTCCTAACCGCCTCCCATATACTTCCCTGTCACTTGATTGCAGGCTTTTGGCCGAATTGACTCGTAGAATACAACCCACATAAGCAAGAACGCACCACACACGCATGCATGAACACGTCGAAGAAATACAGAAAGTATGTGCGAAATCGGCCCAGCAGAAACAGGGATTCCATCCTCTGGATCACCTGCGTCCCAGGAAAGCATACGTTCGCTTTTGGTCCGCGATTAACCTCCTTTCCGCGACCTGGGATGCTCCACGCAGCCTTGGGACCAATCGGCTCCAGATCCCTCAGAGTGAGGTACATGGATCTTTGGAGATGTGTATATTTTCCTCAATCATATATATATATATATATGTGAATACATATACATAAATATGTAAAATGTATAAATATATTAAAGTATTCCGAACGTATATGGCGAAACAAACGAACAAAACATGACAACATTGCTGCTGTAGGATCGACTACTTCTCATCGTGCACAACAGCTTGATATGTCTCGTAAAAGGAGAATACATAGAAGTACTTCATCAATACATAGAACATGGAAATTCAGACGATTGGCTGAGTAAATGTTACGGATACCGAATTAAGTAGCGAAAAATGCAAGAAACCGCATAACAATTCTCCACATTCTCTACAAAATTGGACTACATTGTGTCTGTGTTGAGTGGAGTTGTTTTTTTAAGCACTCTCTAGATACAATGGTTATTTTCAGACATTTATTTTAACAAAATTGCTGTTAACACTACATAATTTTTACTAGTCATAGTTTTTATTATTCTAAAGAGTCCAAGGATATTTTGGATGCAAGCAATAAGAAAAAAAACCAGGTAGAAGTAATTTATTGCCAAACACTGGTATTACATTTGTATATAATTATCGATGGAAACCTTTAGCCACAGCAACACCTTTCTAGCTTCACTTTCTGTTATAGTGTAGGACCAGTTAGTTTGCTTCGAGAAGTTTTTTCTTTGCTGTTATGATTTGTTTGTGTGCTTCTGTTGTTGTGCGGAAAGGGCTTCTTGGAAGTCATCCTGTTCCATCTTTTATCCAGGTGAATTGCTGTTCGTTTTCAAAATTTTAGGCTGGTGCTATAGGTTTTCATAGTACAACGACAAGCCTAAAACGTGATCTGGTCCGTTACCCCTACCCTGATGTAGGTTTTCAAAGTACAACGAGAAGTTTAAGGTATGACCTGGTCCGTTATCTCTACCCTGCTGTAGATGTCCATTGTAGAACGGGAATCCTAAAATATCACCTGGTTCGTTGTCCCTTACCTCATTGTTTATGATGAAACACATAGTATTCGGATGTTATTCTTTCCTATCATATATATATGTATATATATGTATACATATGTATATATATATATTCACCCAATTGAAGCAATGTTCAGAAAATCATCCGTGACCAAGATGAGGATTTGTTATTGGTAGGGAAATCCGTAAATATGTTGAAACACATGAGCTACAAAATTGGCGATGAGCTTGATCAACAGGCTGTGTAAGTTACTTTTATTTTTAATACTCTGCTCGTCGTTACATGTTCTTTTAGAGGTCATGTGATGTGTTTAATCATTGCTTCACTTTACCAATTGTTTTTATAGATTGTCTATAGTTTTTAGAATGTTGGACGACTTGGGAATCGAAATGGACACCGTGGATTCGAAATTGGATAGTGTAATGCATAAAATTGCTAAACTAACACATATGGACGATGGTAAGCTTATTTTAAGTCCTAGAAATCGGAGTTATTTCGTTTTACTTTTTCACTTCTCTTTGATTGCTCCAATGAAGTTAGCAGAATCCGTCTTTTGAGGTTTTCTTTTTTAAATAAAAACTACTGTTGCTTCGTACTGATGCACTTGTAGGGAAGTAGTATAGATGTCACTCAATATGCACAACGCCCTCTGACCCTATTCCTAATCAAACAGGTCACTCATCTTTTCGAAGTCGGGAAATCATTAATACAGTTATCTGGGTTCGACTTTTGCGATCTACAAAGGCTATCCACTGCTTGTGTTGTAGACCAGAGTTTGCCCTAACACCATTATCCCAGGATTCCAGGGAGAATTGACTTGATCAGTGTTAAACGACGTTCATAAAGAAGATTAAGTATCTTCAAGCAGCAGCGGAACTCACATGGAAATCTGAAGACCTTCGGGGACGACGAAGGCAGGGAATCGAGTCAAATGAGAAAAGTGTTGGAATCTGCACATAGCATTGAGTAATATGAGAAAAATTGCTTTGTACTTCGCGTCTTTAAACAATTTAAACATCGAATATTTGTTCGAAAACCGCCGTGAAGGACAAAGAATGATGAAAGGTTTAGCGGTTGATCCATTTAAGTTGTATTCAGCTTTAACGATAGTTATAGAGGTGGATGAGTGCATATTTCGTATCTACAACGGCTTAAAGTAGACTTCTGACGTATGAACTAACGTTCTTATCCTCCAAGATAAATCTGATACCAATTTGCCGCCTCCGTAGAGATGCGTCTACGCTCTAACCACTACACTGCGTTATATGCGTCCTTGAAAAGGCACCATGTTGATTTGTAATGATATAGTTTCTGACGTTTCTTCTTAATAATATTTTCAGACAAACGACAGTGCAAAGTCATTATGATTCTTAGCGTGGTGATATTTTTCTTAATATTCATTTTAATTGTACTATAACTATAGCTGAAGAATTAAATTTCCTCATGATTACTCTTTTAAAGTTATTTCATATTCTGAACTTCTCAAGTTTTTGTGCCAAATTACGGATTAAGCTTATTGCCTGCTTTTGAATGTCTGTAACTTTCTCTTTCATATGAATTCGTTTTCTTCCCAGGCTTTTTTTCATTCGGTCAGTTTTCTCACCACACAGCATTGTCACAGATTTCTATTCTTAGCTTGTACACTTTATTACTCATAATACGGATTTTCGCTGTTAAACATTGTTTTATTGTGGGAACCAGTAAAGTGTATTAGAGAATGTGAAATAGAAGATTCAATGGAGAAAAGGCATGCTTTATTTCTTTGAAATTGATAAAGACAAGGGAAGTGGGAGTCAGATATAAAATACAAACTAAATTTTAGTGCAATAATCGGTCCTCTCCAAATACCTGGTCATAATCGTAACAAGTTTATAAACTTACATTTGAGAGGATTATTTGGATACTTACATGGTCCGTCTTCACTGGTTGTGCGGGCCGCAGCATAGATTCCATTTTTTTTCGGAGTTTTTCTGGTTTAGCTAATGTGGTTGACCGGATTCCGAGGTCAGCCTAGCCAATGTCTGCCTCAAGTCGTCACCAGCACAGGCAGTCGCCGCCCTTGTGCATCAGCGCGCAGATTTGGCATCATGCGACTAGTGTGATAGCAGGACAGTGGTGGATCCTGGTATTGGTTTACTTTTAGCTCGGTTTCCTAATGGGAACGCTGGACTCCTTTTTAGCTTGGGAGACCCTGCTGGAGAGATGAACTCCCCGCTGTACATCGCAGCCCGAAACCCGGGAACACCTTCCATTCACGATGAGGCGGTAAACAGTTGGGAGGATTTAAGACGTTCGTTACTATTTATTATTCTTGCATCAAATTATTACATTAGCACTTAGGATTGCTGTAGACAATGTAATGTTTTGTATCGTAACCGAAACTGCATGAACCCTACATGTTTGCGCTTCAAGTTGTGCATTGTTGGTCTACTAATTTTCTATGCATTAATCCTGGAATTGCGAAGTAAGTGCCCCGATGTGCTTCCTGGTGGTTATTACAGAATTGCCAGCATTTGTGGATCGGTTGGTGGTTTAACATCCCGAGAGTAGGGTTCGTTCAGGATTTCGATATCTGGGTTGGCTTGATTTTAGACCGACTTTAAGATCTAGACATCCAACTTGTGGTCTTAGGTGGGTCTGACGGGAATTTTCCACGGTGTTCGTCTCAGTGGACGCCCGAAAATTACACGGTCACAGTGAGGCGGTAAGCCATTGAAGCTGAGGAAGGTATTTGGTGAAGAAAAATTGTAGGCTTACTTTAGTATAGAACACGTTTATGATGGTGTGAACTTATGTCAATACATGCTTTGTTGGAGAATTTTACATTTAAACAAGAATAGCTCGGCACGTACTCGATTTTTTTAATTGGTGTAAGGACATCGGAAACCGAGCACATTCATCGGAATAATATGTAAGATTTCTTATTCTACAATTGTGAAGTTCTGATTACCTAGAGCTCAAAGAGCATATATTCTCCCTTTTTTGTTGGGGCTGATAATTCGGATTCCAAGGCAATAGAATATGCGGGATGTCGTCCAACAGGACACAATGGTTTTCGCGGTAAATCGATTATCTCTGTCATATCCGAGATAAAATTTGTAAAACTCTAGTCTTCGTCAAATTTTTTTCTTCTGTCAATCCCGACGTAACTTCGTTTTCATTTCTCCGATACGGAAATGATGGTCGTTTCGACTTCCAACATGACCTCAGTACGTAGCGAATTTTATTGACCAAAATAAAAACCACTTGAAACCACTAGATTTTTATCTAGAGGTTATAGACTTTCTTATTCTGTGACAACAAAATTCTTATTCTATGAAACCGAGAAATTACATGTCTATGGCTTCTTTTTTCTTGTCAGCGATCATGGTTCGAACAACGAAGCGAAGTTCCGTCTATTGGAAAGCGGTGATGTCAGGAAGTTTATTCTTGTTGTTATGCTTACGTTAAAAGGGTAGGTAAAAGGATAGAGCTCTCGGAATTGATTAAGCCCTGAGAGATGCTCTATGCTTTCAACCTCACTAAGCGTCGTCAGAGGTGACTGAATGCATAACTGGCCTATCCATTGACTCGCGGTGACCTACAAATGTATCGAGTCAGTGGTGCTATAATACCAGACAGTTTTGCTACAAATAATTTGCCGACCTTGGGAGATGGAAGGCTTAGTGGTCCTGGAGTGGAGGGTTGGACATGTGTGTATCGCATTGCGCTTCTAACCACCGCGCTACAAACGTCGTTTTCCTTGCGTTAAGGTTTTAAAGACATTTCGTCTTCAATTCTTTATTTGGAATGTTTACCTAACAGAGAAATAGCAATAACAAATCAATAACACAAGAATTCAGTAAAAGCATAGCTAAAAGTAAGTCTATGTTATGAATCGTTCCTGAAGAAACCTATTCGCTAGGCGCAAAACACTGTTCCGATTCTCCATACAGCGAGCACCATGGCGAGGACTCCCACCCGTAAATTATCGACTCGGATCAATCCAGATCTGAAGGCGAAGAGGTTGAAACGTCTTTGAATCTGAATCTTCTTTGAATCTTGGTGAATCTTCTTTGCCAACCTTTTGTTAGCTTAATAGGCCAAAAGTATTGGTTATTGATGCCGAGGTTTGATAATGATCGGTTTGAAAAATATCGTTTCGATCCACTAGAATTGAGATTGCACCAGCATGGTTACCTCGAAATTCTTTTTAAGAAAACCTTCCTCAACTAATCATATCCTATGGGAATTCTGTAGGAACCACTAGGATCAGTAAATGTGAGGAATCTAAGGAGCTCTTCGTATTTTATACCGTCTGGACCACTATCTGCAAATGTTCAGCGGTTCGGTCAAAGTCACGGCTTTTATCAGCAGTTATAAGTAGTTTTTTGACACGCACAGCACACAGTGTTCTTGTAAGATGAGAACAAACCCCGCTCCTTCACGTTATCAGTCAATAAAGTGCTGAAAATCAGAACAGTAGATATTTTTTATATGATTAAAAGTAGTCGTGTCTTCTTCCAATAATGTTGCAGTGATTTCAAGCGATTTCAACAAAATGGATGCCTATTTTTTGTATATTCGTCCGGAAATAACTAGTGTGTGGTACTCAATGATAATATCCCCTTAGCGTTCCGTTCATATTCGTAATTCTATGAATGCAATTTCACATGCCTCTCAATATCTTGGTCTGCATCAAGTCATTAGGCGCCTTCCTTTTTCCTAGCTATTTTTGCTTGTTTCCTCATGCTGTCCTCAGCAGTTTCCGTCCGCCTACTTGTAGCCATTTGTTCACCCACCTGACGTTTCCTTGTTATCATGGCGTGAACAGTCTTAGATTACCATATCACATCCGAGAATAAACGTCCCGTTGTTGTAGAAGTCGTATGAAATGTTCTTATTGGTAATTTTAGGCGCTGATGCGTCGGATGTCGTGCGCTCATAAGTTGAGCACCAACAAGAAGATAGAACGGGTCGACACATTGATAACGTTTTTGAAAACCGCCAGCATACAACAGGTTGATGTGTTTGTATGTACATATGTATATACACAAATATGTAACATCGTTTCCATTTTCATTTCACATGATCTGAATCTACATATTGAGCATCACTGAGCACTTCTTGCATCCGATTCGTTCCCTCGCATCCGTCGTCCACGAAGATTTTTAGTTACCTTTATGAGTATCCTTGCATAATAGTCGAGTCGATTCTTCTTGGAATCTTAAGACTAATGTGCTGCTCCGTTCATTCAGCAGAAGCAGTTTCTAGCTTTGCAGATCGGATGACGCTCTTCGCAGACAAATGTGGTACCAATTTCCGGCCCCGGAGAGATACGAGGACATTTGCTTGCTTATTCGATATCGTATTCCGTGGTCTAGCAAAGACATTTTAAATAAGCAGCTAGCAAAAACCACCATTTGATACGAAATGTGATTATCATTCCTTAGACAAGCTTAGCACAGCTGATATGATACGTATTATCAGCTCAATTGACACGATAAACAGTTCTATGTAATCGATATTTGAAGAGGTTTGTCATTAAGGAGAAACACTATCGGTTGACAAATTTTTTTTCCAAGCTTGCATTGACAGAAACCAGTTAATTCTCGGTGCTAAGTTAGTACAAAATATCCCAAGACAATAATGAAGTAGGCGAAATATCAAAAGCAAGATTCGCCCCTTCACCCACTCCTGACCAAAGTGAACGGACTGTTGAGAAGAAATTTTTTCTCAAATAAGAGCAAAAGCTTGTAAATAGGAATGTAGGCTTTACAAAGTTGGAATGCATGAGCCTTTTTCTTCAGATGTCAGCCAAACTACACGATCTTTGGGCAGTTCCTCAGGCTACAGTCACAGAAGTACGCTTGCTTTTAACATTAGGTGAGCTGAAATGACACTTCAACGAGAGTGTTTTTGGGTAGATATTAAGATAATTAAAATCCAACGAGTTTGGTGTTCGTCGGCCACTGAGGAATGCGTCATGCATTCTACTCAATTTGTGCATCGCCTAAGCAATTGAGTGCACATCTGGCCTCTATAATAACTTCCCGAAACTTATCGATCCATCCAGTTAGTGCTCCTATTCTCTCAGACAGCTGTGGTACCAATTCCTCGACACTGGAGAGTTGAAAACTTGGCTACGCAGAATGTCAGGACATTGGGTCGCATGTGCACTGGACAATACTCCGAACCAGTGTCCTACACACGCCCAAATGTGAGAATGAAACTGACCAAATTTGGATGCACCTTCGTTTGATATAATCCATGTGAATAGATACTCTAACGCTTTTATAGAAATGTTGAGCGGATACAAAATTAAAAAAAATCCTATTTATCTACGTAAACTTAAAGCTTAAAGATATACGGTGTTGAACATCTTCCCAACATTATTCTATTGTGATAGCCTTTACCTCCCAACGGTTTACCGCCACGTCGTGGGTGGCTGGGAGGTGTTCCTGGGTGTTGGGATGCGATGTACAGCGGACGGATTTATCTCTCTGGTAGGGTCTCCCAAGCTGAGAAGGAGTTTGGCGTTTCCATAGCTAAGAGTAAGCCAATACCAGGATCCACCACCGTCCTGGTATCAAAGTTGTATGGTGGTAAATCTCACTCTCATCCACAAGAGCTACGATTCCATGTGGTGGTGAAGACCTGGGACAGACTTTGGCCAGGCTGACCTCGGAATTCCAGAGAACCACAATGGCTTAATCAGCAAATCTCCGAAAAATGGAGATTATGCTGCGGCTCGCATAACCAGTTAGGACGGCCTTTCAATTGTCAAGTAACTAAGATAACTTTTCACATGATTTCAAAAGCTAATGGCTCTTGGCGTCTCTTAGCTGCGACACCTTAGGTTAGAAAATATTCTACATATTTTTTTTGAGCCATTTTATCTACCCACAGCATTTCTACCCTGCCGTCATCTTGAAATCTTAAACGCCCTTATCATTGAATCTTTGCCGCATAAACCTAAGTATGGAATCGATAGTAGTTCCCAGTTCTTCCTCTATTACAGTTCAATTGACGACGAACTCTTTATTTTAAAGGTGCCTGTGCTATTCCGGTCCAACATTCTTTTTCAAAATCGACCTTCAACATTTCTTACCACATAGTCGGCCTGTAAGCAACCTTTTGCGAAATTGACAACTTCGATTTTAAATGCTGTGTTCTCAGTTTGTGAAACGAGATTAAAAAAGAAGGTACTCCAAGCCAAAAATAGGATAAGTAGAAGATGTTTCATGTTGGAACACCTAGGTGCGAATCCAAAATCGCTTTATAAACATGACTACGGCCAGAAGACGCTGACGGATCGCGTTCAGAATGGAACAGTCTGTGGTAAATGTCTTCCAAAATTCGAGGAATTCCTGAAGTTCGCTGGAACGATTTACGAAGAAATGTGCGGACAGGTATATGGTCTACTTAAGGTTATGGTAGTAAAATTTTTTATTCCGGACATTAGTTAATGATTAAATCAGTCCTCATCTGCATTTTAACACATTCTTGACAATGTGAGTTGATTTCAATGCCTATGCATGAAAGTAATGACCACTTCCAACCTTAAAGAGGGATTTCTTAGCCCAAGCTGAGCTCACCTCTTAGAACCGCAATAAAAGTCTAGAGTCTTCAGACCTTTGTCTTCAAGATGCGAACGGGTTGAATCTACGAAGATCAATTTCTGACCTTTTGAAGGCCAATAGACATATTTTTCACCTTTTTTCGTTTAGGCCTGTGATTCGAACAAAAAGCAATTGAACAAGCAAAATTTTATTCAACAGAACATGATGCGTTCCCCAATCCATCGTAGGTTTTGCCTGTACCGTGCATGTGTGGGAATTTTTAAAACTCGAACTTCGCACTTGATTTTTTTTGGAGATTCTAATTCCACACGAATTTGAAGTTGGAAATATATTTTTAGAAATTATACGTATCAAGGAAACGATAGAACAACAAATGGCAGTAAAATTACCGATTAATGAGCTCCTACCGGAAAACGTTTTTCTATATATTTCTAAGCGCAGAAAAGTGCTTTATACAGTCAGTGCTCGTCACAACATTTCTATTGTATGAGTTGTCGTTTATTTAGAAGAGGTGCAAGAAAAGGTTCCTGTACTCCAAGAAATCATCTAGAATGAAATTACTGCCATAGAGATCACACAGGCCAAAATGCTCTCTTATAAATGACTCCTATAGAGCTCACGTTGGCACGTCTTAGTGAAGGATTCAAATAACAAGGAGGTAGAGAACACTTTTTAAGCGAATAAATGTTTTAGATACCAATCAGCATTGTACGAGGCCGTAGATGTTCGTCTGGTTTGCTTACGCTGTGCATGGACGGTGGCGGTATACGCGGCCTGGTCTCCGTCGTCTGCCTTCTTTTTGCGTCACGTCGAATTCTTGGTGATGAGACACTGGTCAACTATTTTGATTGGCTTATAGGTACAAGGTAAATTAAATATTGTAGTTACCTACTGAATTTGATTTCCATCTGATCACTGATAGTATATCACTTTTTGGCGTCACTTCCTCTTCATTAACCTCATTATTTATATATTCTCGTTTGCAGATTATTAGCATGCTGTTTTCATCCCTTTACGCATGGTAATGGTATCCTTTCTCCTGGGTTTATTTGCCCATGTAGATGGCAAAGGTACAATACAAAAAGATTTTCATTTACTTTGCTGAATTCATAAAAGCCTGTTAGAGATGTTGTTAGAGATGTTTCACCAAGGTTCTCATCTCGAGGGCAACGTAGCGATGTCGTTCGATGAGAGCAAAGAGCTTATTCAAACCACCATAGCGCCTACTTTGCCTCCTATCCCACCGGCCACGGTAGCTTTCGTGAATTATGAGGATGATGAAAACGAGGAAACAAATCTATGAAGTCCTGGGCACCGCACAGCGTATTATTTCGGGTCGCCTAAAAAATAAAAAAAGACATCTTTATACACGGCTGTTTTTTCCCTTACTCTAACCATTTCTTCACTTTTCCATCTCGTTTCTTCTGCTTTCCTGTATCCTTGTTACACCATCTTTTGAAGCGCACTCTAAACCCATTCTGCTTTCTTCTTGTCATTTCCTCGTCCATCCTTCTCTTCCCACTTCGGCTTTCCTTGTTTATGAACTTTACCCATTATGTTTTATAGTCCTTCTGCTTTACTCTTCACATCATTCCCCAATGTTTAGTTTTATTTTGTGCATAATCATAATGGCACGTATGTCTCATTATTCTACCTCTTCTGATATGCGACCCCATGAAGTTCCATTGGTTTTTCAACATAATTACATAGACTAGTTTCTTTTGAAAGTTTTTTTTAGTACCGGTTCTATGCTCGCATTGTCATCAGCGAATGGACGTACACTAAGCGAGTGTTTTTTTCTATATTGGACTATGAAACGGCGAATTTTTCTCAAAGGATCAACAATGTCACGACTTCTAGGAAATCAAGTGAGCTTCACTGAAAAACTAACCAGGAGCAATAATCTAGGAGATAAACTAATACGACGGAAGATACACTAGTTACCATAGTAGCTTTAATTCTTAAAAGATATGCGATCATATGTATTAACTTTAAACCGCATAAGTGGACCTCTTCATGCACTGTTCTGGTACTTTTTTGCTCTCAGGTATCTCTTGTACCATAAACCTTTCCTGAAATATTTTTGTGTCAAATTAATATCTCTCCGTCCTCCAGGTCTTCTACTCAACATAGTTCAAAAAAGGCTATTATACTTCCTTTAATACCGATGCGAACTTCGATGTAAAAAGTCAACATTACGCCTTATTGATGAGGAGTTGAGTGTTCACAGCAGTTATTTCTTCTTTCGATGTGGGTCTTCCTCGTCGAATCGAGTAAAGTGGAGCATGCACGAATGAAGTAACATCACCTGCGCTACTCTTTTACGCTCGGATCATCGCAACTGTAAAGAAATCGATGGCATCGAGACATAAGCCACAACAAGGATTTGTGGAATCCACACATAGGCTATTTTTTGCTCGGATGAGTCCCGAAGCGATTATTCTGCTTGCTACGCAACTGAAGTCTCCTGCTGGCGAGAATAGTACTAAGATGGTGTACCTGTTGCAATTTTGCACCAAAGTTTGACGCATAGGTACAACTCATGGCGATGGAACGGTAAATCATTAAGAAATAGTGTGTAAAGAAACTATAATAAGAATACGTAAATACTATTCTTGCTGTGCTGTATTGTTTCAAATTTTACTGATGTGTTCTTATTACTGTTTACTAATGTTAAGCGTTCTGGAAACGTAGGTCGAAAACGTTCCCTTTGCCACTTAAATTTTTATTTCACAATTTGTACTTTTTATAGGGGCGGATAGCACAGTGGTAGTGGTGTCCGTTATTATGGGCATAGTACTAGTTCGATTCCGCTCCAGGCCAACTAAGCCTGTCATTCCTCCGGGGTCGGGGAATTGGTGTCGAACTTATTTGGGAAAAATGCAGTCCAATTGGGAACGCTCTAGCCCGGCTATCTCAGGACTCCAGGGAGAATTTCTCGACCAGCATTCTACAACATTCAAGATGAAATGGAAATCCTCAAGCAGCAACCAAAGCCACGCGTAACAATTGGAAGATCATCGTGGACAATGGATGCGAGGAAACGAATCGAATGCAAGAAGTGCTGGGATTCGCGCAGTAGATGTGATGACGGATCAAATAAAATGAGATAAAATAAAAATGCTCTTTGTAAGAATTTGTCGGAAATAATTGTGGCATTACACCCATTCAATGTTAACTCGCTTTTCGTGATTTGTAGCAAAAAGTGCTTCCAGAATTGTTCTAGTAGCCAGTTCAGCGCCAAAATTTTCTGTCTTGTGGATAATATTAAATTAACAGAACTGGTCATCTTATTTTATTTTTTACTAGATTTAATAGATTATCTCACTGGACATGATTACATGAGGGTTTCTGGTTGGCACTTGTATCTACCGGAATCAAACCTAAGTAGTCTTGGACCTTAGGCCCATTTTTCGAGCCTTTTGCTTATTCTCATAGTGGATATTCATGTTTTTACTAAACTAATGTGAGTGACTAGATAAAAGAAAGGCAGTGAAAACCAGAAATATACATGCCACCTATCAGTTCTTCTCTTGTTCACTAGAAAAAGAAATGAAAATGTTGAGGTTAATTCGAAGAACTTAGTCTAATCCTTGTGCTGTTTATGCATTATACAATGGCGAAACTCAATCTAATCTCTGGACAGCACGAGCGGCAGATGTTAATAGAGATGTTTTTCGTAGTAGATCTCCGGACCATTTTTCAATTCATAGGAGGTAAAGGATAAAGAACTCGACGTTGATCAATCCTTAAGGATGCGCCGCGCACTCGACTCAATTCAGTATCATATAGGTGATTAAATGCATATCTAGCCAATGCAATGGCCTACTGATGCATCAACCCAGTGTTTTTTATCCTCTCAGACAATCCTGATAACAATCTTAACTCTTTTATTTACTGCCTTTTTCTTCTTAATGGCAGGGTATGTTGCGAAATATAACTCGTATGAAATGCTGAGATATTTGCAAAACTCCGGACCACAGGTGTATGCAGTGGGGAACGAACACGCGTTGTTGTCCTTACCGGGGAGCAGCGCGTGTTCGTTCCCCACTGCATA